GCATAGGCCTGGTCATGGAGATCGCCCGCACCTCCCTGACTCACGCCTGTGCCCCCCATTTTCTGTGGCCCTACGCGGTCAGGTACGCCGCGCACCAGCTGAACCTCTGGCCACGTGTCTCTCGACCAGAGGTTTCACCGACCAGTCTTTGGACAGGGTCCCCTGGTGTTGCGTCGCGGTTTCGTGTCTGGGGGTGCTTGGCTCTTGTCCGCGACACCTCCGCGGACAAGCTCTCGCCTCGTGCCGTCCCCTGTGTCTTCCTTGGTTTCCCTGAGGACTCCTCTGACTTCACCTTTTACCACCCTCCCTCTCACCGGTTCTTTGACTCCCGTGACGTCCGTTTCGAGGAGTCCACTCCGTACTACGTCAGGTACCTCAGTCGAGGTCTCCCGGTTCCTCCTCCCCCCCTCTTCCTGACTGCCGTTCCCCCTCCTGCTCCCCCGGTACAGCCTTCCCCCCCTGGTCCAGCCCCGTCAGGTGTGTCCCAGGCTACCCCTCCTCCTTTGGTAGCCCCTCCGGTACAGCCTCCCTCCCCACAGTCCTCCTCGCAGCGTGCCGCTGGTGCTAGCTCTCGAGAGGTTGGTGCGGCGCCTGTTCCTGTACCGGTTTCTGGTTCTGGGGGTGCTGGAGTTGGAGCTGGAGTTGGAGCTGGAGTTGGAGCTGGAGTTGGCACTAAAGTTTCTGGTTCTGGGGGTGCTGGAGTTGGAGCTGGGGTTGGAGCTGGAGTTTCTGGTTCTGGAGTTGGAGCTGACCCGGTGGGTGCAGAGGACTCTTGTCGTCCGGGAGCTGGTGCTAGCCGCGCGGACTCTGGGGGTGCTGCGTCTGGGGGTGAGGGTGCGCCTCCTTCGGGTTCAGGTGAGCCTGGGTCTGGAGCTGGTGTTAGTGCTGCCTCTGGGGGTGGTGCGCCTAGTTCTTCTGGGGTGGACTCTGGAGCTGCCGCTGCTTCGGACACTACTCCACCCCCCCACCCCTACCCGACTAGGCACCAGGCTCGTGTTCGCCGTGCCCGTGACGAGCAGCTGGCGTTGGAGAGAGAGGAGAGGGAGTTACAGCGGCTGGAGGAGCAGCAGCAGCTGGACCCGCAGGAGCAGCAGTCCCAGCAGCAGCCGCGTCCGCAGCAGCAGCAGTCGCAGCCGCAGCAGCAGCAGCCACTTCCTCCTCCTGTCTCGGGTCTTCGGATCCTTGGTCTCCCCTCCCCTTCTCCTCCCTCCTCCGCCTCTCCTCCTGTCTACGGTCCCACGTTTCCTCCTCCTGACTCCTCCCCCGCTGTTTTCCCCAGTTCTCCGCCCTTGTCCTCTTCTCCTCCGTCTCGTTCTTGGGCTACTCGTCGCTCCCCTCGTGCTCGTCCCTCGTCTCCTGTTCCCTTCACTGACCTTCGTACTGCTTTCCTTCTTTCTAGTCCATCTCGTCCGTCTCAGTCTGTGCTTCCGTCTCCTCCTGAGTCGGCCCTCACTGTGTCGCTCCCTACTCCTGTCACTGACTACTACCGCACGTACCGTCCTGTTCTCTCTCGTGTTCTCGCCTCTCTTGTTACTCACCCTCGTGCCTCTGTGTCCTCTGTGTCCGCTCTTACTGCCGCAGTTACTGACTTTGCCTCTACCCGCCGCCTTGACTACGCCACCACGCTTGTGGCTGCTCCTCCTACCAGTCCTCTGGCCGTCGGGGGTGTGTCTGCCCTTGGCTGTGACGCCCTAGAGGACAGGCAGTTTGAGCTAGAGTTCCTGGCGGCCGCTTCCCCTCATCTCTGTGCCATGCTCCTCGCCCCTGAGGGTGACCCCGACGCCCTCGACATTCCGACTCCTCGCACCTACGCTGAGGCAGTGTCAGGGCCTTGGGCCTCTTAGTGGAGAGCTGCCATGGACGCAGAGATGGCCTCCTACAGATCCACAGGCACCTACGTCGATGAGGTTCCCCCCCCTGGGGCGAACGTAGTCGACGGCATGTGGATCTACAGGGTGAAGCGGCCACCGGGATCTCCCCCGGTCTTCAAGGCGCGCTACGTGGCTAGAGGTTTCAGTCAGCGCGAGGGAGTTGACTTCTTTCAGACCTTCGCACCTACCCCGAAGATGACCACTCTTCGGGTGTTACTACACGTAGCAGCACAGAGAGACTACGAGTTACACTCTCTCGACTTCTCCACTGCTTTCCTTCAGGGCAGCCTACACGAGGAGGTCTGGTTGCGTCGTCCCTCGGCCTTCACTGGCACCTTCCCTCCTGGGACCCAGTGGAGGCTGAGGCGACCTGTTTACGGTCTTCGCCAGGCCCCTCGTGAGTGGCACGACACTCTGCGTTCTACCCTCTCTGACCTTGGGTTCCAGCCGTCTTCTGCCGACCCGTCGCTGTTCGTTCGTCGTGGCTCCACACCGTTCTTTGTTCTGGTTTACGTCGACGACCTCGTTTTCGCCACTCCGGACAGGGTTGCTTTGGCAGACGTGAAGTCCGAACTGCAGAAGAGACACACGTGCACTGATCTTGGTGAGCTGCGCCACTACCTTGGCCTGCAGATCACCAGGGACAGAGCCGCTCGCACCATTACACTCTCACAGTCACACATGGTGCAGCAGGTCCTTCAGCGGTTCGGGCTTCAGCACTCCACCGTACAGCGCACACCTCTAGCTGTTGACCACAGACTCACTGGTCCCTTTCGTGACGAGCCGTTTGAGCCTAGTGGTCCCTACGCAGAGCTTGTGGGTTGCCTCATGTACCTGATGACTTGTACTCGCCCGGACCTCGCCTTCCCTCTCAGCATCCTTGCGCGCTTTGTTGCGCCAGGGAGACACCGTCCTGTTCACTGGACGGCAGCTGTGAGGGTGGCGAAGTACCTAGCAACTACATCAGGCGTGGGGCTAGTTCTTGGAGGGCAGCAGTCTGTCGTACTCACTGGTCACTGTGACTCCTCTTACGCTGACGACGCTGAGACTCACATGTCTACTCAGGGGTACTGTTTCAGTTTGGGTTCTGGAGCTGTTTCCTGGCGTTCCACGCGCTCCTCTTCTGTCTCGACCTCTACAGCTGAGGCTGAGATTTACGCAGGTGCCATGGCGGCACAGGAGTTGCGGTGGTTGACCTTCTTGCTCGCCGACCTTGGTGAGCGGCCGAGCTCTGCACCGACCTTGTTTACTGACAACAAGGTGTCGATCCTCCTCTGTCGTGAGCCGCGACTGGAGAGCAGAGTGAAGCACATTCACGTCAGGTACTTTCTTCTGCGAGAGTTGCAGAGGCGTGGACAGGCTCGCTTCGAGTTTGTAGAGTCCGAGGCCAACACTGCAGACATCTTCACCAAGGCGCTTCCGCCTTGTGACCACCAGAGGTGTTGTGTGCAGTTAGGCCTTGTTGACACAGGTTCTAGTCATGCGTAGACTTGAGTTTATTGCCTGCTTCGTTTGTACATTTACTATATATATACTTGTGATCTCTTGGACTGGCCTTGTGGCCACTGTTGCTTGTGCTCAGAGTGTGTGGTGACGTTGTGATCCACCCTGAGCTTTGTTTTCTTTTGGACTGGTCTTGTGACCGTACTCTTTTTTTTGTTTTTGCTAGACACCCCTCACTTAGGCTATGGGGGTGTGTCAAATGTTGTAGCCTGTAGTGAGGTTTGTCTTAGGGGGTACAGTAGTTAGGGTTTCTCATATGTACCCGAAACCAACATCAATGGAACATTCATTCCTCATTTTGACAGTTTTGTGCTCTCGCATTTGTTTTTGCCATCCCATTCCATCACAAGCTCATCCTCTATCATCCCCACTATTTAGCTCTCTTTAGTTCTTAGGAAAATATGCCATTTGTAACCATCATGAGACTCAAAAACATTTTTGGTAAAAAAACAAAGGGTACGTGTTGAACTATATTTATATTTGTTCTTTATGATTGTCTGCAGTGTAGAGTGTAGCACATCCCAATTTGGTATAGGTGGTGCACCATGCTTCTCCTTACTATATTTTGTACTCATCTTTATTAGTGAAGTCACTCATTTCTGCTTCAACTCTCTCGACACCTCCTTCAACCCTAAAACCTAAGCTACTAAGTTACTCTAGCCATGGCTTCTAAGCCCAACTAGCTTAGTATCTTGAAAGTACGGTCATTGCAAAGGGTGTTTTCACGCGACTGATAAAGCGTTTCACGGAATCAGTCACAATCAACTGGTATAAAAAAACGCGAATGGTCACAGATGAAACTCCCGCCAAAACAAAATGAAACTCAGAAAGAACCTGGATGCATTCTGGGATGGTCAACCCTAAACACGAAACTCGCCAGGTGTTTAAGGGTTGATCCTTTCCCAAACCGCATCCGATTCCGATTGGGTTTTAGTTTTTTTACAAGTTCGCAGATTGGTTGGGCGCGAGAGGGAATTTTGTTGAGTTTCAAGTTTTTTTGGCGGGAGTTACATGTGTGACCATTCGCGTGATTTCTTACCTATTGTTAGTGACTGAATCCGTGATCCCGCTTACCAAACCCATCAGGAAACCCGATACAGTGACCCTACGCGTATTTTTATTACCATTTACGTTATCGAGTCCCAAGTTGGTTACTTGTGGCATATTTTCCCTTAGTTCTTCATGTGTAGCTACATTTCGTATACAGGTATATATAGAAGATCTCTAAACTCCGTCCAAACGCTGAAGACGATTTTGTTTTGGTATTCCCTCATTTCTTTGTACTCAGAGGATTCGTGTGAGCGGGGAATCAAGATTCAAGATACCCAACTTAGCATACCTGCTTCGTCGATGCCATTGGGATGGCGTCCATCTATCATAATCTACTGCATTGGCCGTTTCAAATTCAAACTGCTGCACCCGCAGCCGTTGCTTCATCTCCGCTTGGCATTTTCGTCGCTCAGATTAAACCGTGGCATGTGCTCTGTGTCGTCGCGCTCGCCGTGCAAGTGTACCTGTTTCGCAGTTACGAGGTCGGTTGCAAGTGTTCCGAGGCGTGCACGCCAGGTCATGCGACCGTGCGACAAGACTCGTACACCACCGTCGTTAATTCTCAGCCGCGATCCAATGCGATCGGAAATGCCGTCCCAGGTTGGGTTTCTTCTCACGACGGACAGTTGGGGCAGAACGGGCAGGATAATGTTTTTCCAGGCAACTGGCAGCAGCCGCTGCAGCAGAAAGAACAGGGGGAGCAGGAGCAGGAGCCGCAGCGACAACCGTTAGTGAATTTCGCGCCGCAACAACCCCCTCAGCAGCAGCTGCAGGCGGGAGGTCAGGAGCAGCAGCAGCAGCAACAGCAGGAGCAGCAGCAGCGGCAATTTCAAGAGCAGCAGAAGCAGGATGGCCTCTCGAATCCTCAAGACGAATCACGTCCTCGGGATTTCACTGGGTAAGCTCTATTCCCGGCTCTTGAGGTGCCTCAAAAGTCGCGAGATGATCCACGTCCTCGAGATTTCAAAGGTTAAGCTCGATTCGCGACCACAGTACAGTGACCTTCCACTTGTGCCGGTGGGTGATTCTCATATAATTTTCAACTGAATCTCAGATGAGCCTCAGCAGCACCCCAACCCGCCTCCCCTACGTGTCGTTGCAATGACCTGCTGAATTGATGCCACCAGGTGCTCCTCCTGTGCCTCGGTCCCATCATCTCCCATTCCCCCTGTCTCATCCTCCCCCTTTCCCTGTGTCCAATTATCACCCCTTCCCTCTGTCTCATCATCTCCCGATCCCTCGGTCTCATCAACTCCCCATCCCTCGGTCTCATCAACTCCCCATCCCTCGGTCTCATCAACTCCCCATCCCTCGGTCTCATCATCTCCCGATCCCTCGGTCTCATCAACTCCCCATCCCTCGGTCTCATCATCTCCCCATCCCTCGGTCTCATCAACTCCCCATCCCTCGGTCTCATCAACTCCCCATCCCTCGGTCTCATCATCTCCCCATCCCTCGGTCTCATCTTATCCCCTGTCAGTTGCGCCTGGTCGTGTAACTGGAGAAGCCAGGTTGGCAGAATAATCTCGAGAATCGATTGAAAATTTCTCTCATCATAACAGATTGGATGACTGTCAGTTGCACCGCACCTGGTGGTGCACGAGACATGCAAGCTGGAGAAGCTAGGCAGCAGAAGCTCTGAACAGCCTGTTCATATATATTATATGTATATTATTGGTCTCATCACAACAGGTTAGATGACTCTCAGTTGCACCTGGTGGTGCACGAGGCTTGCAAGCTGGAGAATCTCGGAAGAAGGTTTGATTATGTATATACACTCCCGAAATATACACTCCTGTCACAACAGGTTGGATGACTCTCAGCTGCACCTGGTGGTGCACGAGACGTGCAAGCTGGAGAAGCTGGGCGGCAGGAAAAAGGACGGCTACGGCGCATGGATGCTCTGCACCAATCACCTGCGGCCAGGTGGCATAGTGTACTCGTTTGGGATCGGAGGCGACGTGTCGTTTGACAATGAGATGGTGAACCGAGGCTACAAGGTACGATGTTTCCACCCCCCACACACACCCATCCACCTGTCCATCCTCCTCCTCTTTCCAAGAGTTATGCTAGTGCCTTGACTCGAGTCATTGCTGTCGTTTGACAATGAAATGGTGAATCGATGCTACAAGGTACTTCCCACCCTCTCTTGCTACTTTATATCCCCACCTTTCCCCTGCTTTTTCTACACACACGCACATACAACCCTCCTTGTTCTAACGGGCTATTCCACGTCTTGCCTCGAGCCAGTGTTCCCCCCCCTGTCGCGCTCGTCCCTTGAATTTTGGAAGTCGTTTTCTTACCTTCTCTCGTACACCCCTTGTCCTTCCATTCCCACCCTCCCTTCAGGTTTTCGGTTTTGATCCCACCGTGACCCCAGATCATGTGAGCAGCTTATTCAAAAACAACCATGAGCGCGACCAACCATCCGCTTTCCAATTCTGCCAGGTTGGCATTGGGGCTGTAGACGGCATTATCACCTTCTTCAGTCCCAAGAATCCCCGCCTGAAATCCATGACAGCTGTGAAGCACGAGGAGCTGTCAAAGCGGTACGAAAGCCGAGGCATGCCGGCGCCAGTCATGCGGTTACCAACATTCATGTGCAGTAATGGACATGGGTTCATTGACGTGTTGAAGATAGATGTTGAAGGGGTTGAGTTTGATATCTGCGATGAATGGTTAAGGATGGACACTCCCCTCCCGGTTGGCCAAGTGTTGTTAGAGTTTCATGACCGGTTGTTGAAAGATGGCAAGTTACGGAGAAAGGCGTGTCTCAATGTTATGGCAAGAGAGGGATTTACAGAGGTGTTTGTCAGTCGTAGTAAGGAGGAAGCCACTTATGCAAGGATGGCCTCTAGAAGAAATTCGTCTTTATTGTCAGGTACTGTAATTCCTTGAAGAGTGGAATCTGGTACATCAACTCCCCCATGCCTCCGTCTGTTCTGGTTCTGGTGGCCATAGAGCTATGGTTCCCTTAACTTGAGGTTTTAATTCAATTTGACCTTGAAAAATTCAGACGGGCAAAGACCTTTTTGCCCTTCCTGTTGGCCACTTTTTTCCACAGGCCACACTAGTATAGCGAACCCGAACTTGCTGAGGTGTAGTGTGTCCATCGCCGACATGTTCGCTGTCGCGTGTGCTCTGCGGCACAGGCTTGTTTGGAGATGGCAACTTGGCAACGGCAACCCTCGGCGGCAAGCTCGAGGTGGGCATCAACAAAGCTCGACGTCATCAACAAACCGTGTAGGTACGCAGGCATCCGTCCACATCCCTTCCCACCTCCTGTCACCGACCCTCACCTGCGTAGTTTACCCTTCCCTCCATTACTTCGCTTGCTAGTCTTCAGTACGGTAATCAGCAGTCATCTCTTTACAACGCTCGAAAACGCTACGCACCAAGCACAACCGTGGCAGTGGAGTGCAGACTAGTTCATTCCCTTGCATCTCCTCTACCCCTGCTCCTTTTCCTTCCCTCAGGCCTGACACAAAGGACCTCCCCCTGATGGTGCAGTGCAGCCTGTACAATTACAGAAACTTCGGCCAAAGCCTTTTCTCACCTTTCCGCAATTTCATTAAGGAAGAGGCTACCTGTGTGGCTGAGCAAGCCAATCAAATTCATTCGAAAACGACGACCGACCGACCCCGGGCCTTCGCTGGTGTTCCTAACCCACGCTCCTAGCGCTCGACTTTCTTACCATAACGCGATCCATTACTGTTCGGTCGCCGGAAGTAACAGCTTTTACTTCTGCTCAAGTTCCAAACTACAGTATTCAGCCAGTCCGCTACCACATATTTGCTGCATCCACCCAGTTTTCCCCGCTCGAGGATCATAACGACGAGCCTCGCTTGCACAATCCATTCTCCTCGCTTCATTCCCCCGCATTCTGCGGTTTAGCTCGCACAGGCGTTTAACAATCTTCACCCTTTTTCGCAAACAACGTAACCGTATGCTTTGCCCACCTGGTAACTCTACTGTTCGTTACCGCATTGCCCCGACGACCGTGAGAACTGTCATACTGACTCAGTAAGCCGGCATTGCGCAATAAATGCTCTCCGGATGTCTCCGTGATCATACAACGTTGTGTGAACTTTTAAATCCCTCGGACTTCGTCTAGGGGCCGACAGACCGCGCAGCGCGACTCAGGGTGGTTCGAAACTGTGCCGTTTCAGTTTCCGTTCCAACGCGTCAAGTCCGTCAAGCTCGTCGTGATCATGGCGAGCGGGGTGAACCTCACTGCGGTGACAGTCATTGCTGCCGTCTCCGCCGTCCTCGCGGCCGGCGTCACAGCGCTAAACATTCCCTCCGGCGTCTTCGGGTGAGTTCTCCACTCCCTCCCTTCCTCTTCCCCTCCTTTTCCCCTGTCCTTCCCCTCCCTTCCCACGAAGGCTCGAAAAGCACATACTCAACATTCGTAGGTCCATCCTGGCTGGCTGCAGAACCCCCACTCCCCCGGCCTCTCTTTCCTCCAAATCCCCTTCCCTATCGACCCCGACCACCCCACCCTCCACCTGCTGCACCCCATGCCCTTCTTCTGCACGTGCCACGATGACTCAGCATTCATGAGGCCGGCGTGGCAGAAAAACCCTCACTCCCTCCGCCTCCCCACTAGACAACACCATGATTCAAGGCTCTCCCCGCGCCCCCACTTCTCCCTTCTTTCCTGTCTCTCAACCGGCACCCCAAGCCCCACGTGGTGCCCTTCTTCTGCACGTGCAATGATGATTCAGCGCTGGTGGCTCAGCATTTATAGACAAAACCATGACTTACGAACCCCCGCGTTTTGCGCCGACTCAAAGCACGAAGCATTGATCGACAGCACCATGACTCAAGACCCCCCTCGGGCCTCCCCTTTTCTCTTCTTCCCTGTCTCTCAACCGACACCCCAAGCCCCACGCCCCTCCCTCCCTCCCTCTCTCCCTCCCTCCCTTCCTTTCTTCTGCACGGGCGATGATGACTCAGTGCTGATGGAGGACGGACAGCCTGACTCAAGACCCCCCACCTATCCCACTCCCATACTCTCTTCCTCCCTTTCCCTCTCTCTCTTCTTCCCCTGCCCTCCCCATGCACCCCCCCTCCCCCCCAGCCTGCACCCCAAGCCCCACGTGCTACCCTTCTTCTGCACGTGCGACGATGACTCAGCGCTGATGGAGGACAGCCTGGCGCGCTGCCAGGTGGCGAGCGACTTCCTCATCGCGCTGGCATACCTGTCCATCCCACTCGAGCTCGCATACTTCACGCTGAGGGCCAGGAACTTCTCACACCGCTGGGTCATGCTGCTCTTCAGCCTCTTCATTGTCCTTTGTGGTGAGTGAGTGGGTGCATGCTGCTGCCTTGGTTGGGGCTGGTCAGTGCCAGTGGTCACCTCTGGGCCTGTCCTAATCGCGCTGCCGTACCTGTCCATCCCACTCGAGCTCGCATACCTCACGCTGAGGGCCAGGACCTTCTCACACCGCTGGGTCATGCTGCTCTTCAGCCTCTTCATTGTTCTCTGCGGTGCGAATATCCCCTTGTTGCATGCATGCTCTGTGGCGCGTGCTCTTCTCTATGTTGCTCAGCTCAGCGTGCTCTGTATGCGTTCAGCAGTCCCCACTCCCCTCTTTTCTCCCTCCCCCATTCCTTTGCCCCTCTCCCTTCGCCCATCGCCCTGTCCCACCAGGTCCGACCCACCTAGTGAACGTGTGGACGTTCGGAGCACACCTGCGGCACCTGACTTTAGCTCAGGAATTACTCTTCTTCTCCCTGCCCCTCACGCCTCGTCTTCCTCTCCTCCCCACCCCTCGCCTTTTCGCCCCTGCCCCCACCAGGCCTGACCCACCTGGTGAACGTGTGGACGTACGGTGCGCACCCGCGGCAGCTGAGTGTGGTGCAGACGGTGCTCAAGGTGCTCTGTGCGGCCGTCTCATGGGGCACAGCCTTTGTGCTCTTCACCATCATCCCCTCGCTCCTCAAGTTCAAGGCAAGTGCCTTTGTCCGTCCAGACGTGTCCTTTTGGGTCGACTCTCAGCACCTGCAGCAGCTGAGGGTCGTGCAGAAGGTGCTCAAGGTGCTCTGCGCGGCGTTCCCAGTCTGCGTATCCTGGAGCTCTATCCAGGTGTCGTCTTTCGAGTGGCCTCTCCGAATGCACCTATGACTACCTGATAGTTCGCCCCTGCCCCTGCGTGATTAGTTGGTTATCGAGATTCGACTGGGGGGCTATCAGCAAGCAAATTTTGCTGATAGCTTGTCGTGCACATACACTTGAATTCGGCTAGCAATCCAGCTGCCCAGCGTCCATATCTAGCCCCTCTGCCTCCCGTGCCGTGCCTTCCTGGCAGGTTCGGGAGCTTTCGCTGCAGCACAAGGCTGCACAGCTGGATCGGGAGATGGATGCTATTCGAAGAAGAGAGGAGGTGAGGCTAAGTGGGGGGTTGGTTTGTAGAAAGGCGACTCAAGAAGAGAAGAGGAAGCAAGGCAAGATGTCGATTACTTAGGGGAAAGGCGAAAGTTTTTTTCTTCTTCTTCTTTGCTCTCATCCCTCTGCTGCTCACTTCTCTATTCCCCCCCTCCCCCTCATCTCCCCGTCATCCTACCCCCCTCTTTCCTTCCATCCTTTTGCTTGGACCGCCACACCATCATATCCTGCCTCCCTCCTCTCCACCCCTCCACCCGCGTCTCTTTCCCTGACGCACAAATCAGTCTCTCTCCCCCTCAGGTGGGGCGCTAGGTGCGCATGCTGACATACGATACGAGTCTCTGGATGGACCGCCACACCATGCTCAGCAGCCTTGAGACGTCTCAAGTTCAATTCGAACCCCTTCCCCCCTTCTCTTTTCTCACAGGTGGGTCGCCATGTGTGCATACTGACATATGAGATCTGTCAGTCTCTTGACCGACCGCCACACATTACCCAAACACTGTTGAGATGAGACATCTCAAACCCCCCTTTTTCCCTCCGTATGCCTTTTTCTTCCCCAGGTGAGGCGTCGTGCGCATGCTGACATATTGAGATCCGCCGGTCTCTGGACCTCCACACCATCCTCAACACCACTCTAGTCGAGCTCTCCCAGGCCTCGAGACATTGCATATTCCCCGTTCCTTCTTTCCCTCCCCTCCAGGTGGGGCGGCATGTGCGTATGCTAACATACGAGATCCGCCAGTCCCTGGACCGCCACACCATCCTCAACACCACGCTAGTGGAGCTCGCACAGGCGCTCGTGCTTGAGAACTGCACCGTGTGGATGCCCGACCCCTGTGAGTGCTACTGACTCCTGTGAGTGCTACTGACCCCTGTGAGTGCTACTGACCCCTGTGAGTGCTACTGACCCCTGTGAGTGCTACTGACCCCTGTGAGTGCTACTGACCCCTGTGAGTGCTACTGACCCCTGTGAGTGCTACTGACCCCTGTGAGTGCTACTGACCCCTGTGAGTGCTACTGACCCCTGTGAGTGCTACTGACCCCTGTGAGTGCTACTGACCCCTGTGAGTGCTACTGACCCCTGTGAGTGCTACTGACCCCTGTGAGTGAGTGCTACTGACCCCTGTGAGTGCTACTGACCCCTGTGAGTGCTACTGACCCCTGTGAGTGCTACTGACCCCTGTGAGTGCTACTGACCCCTGTGAGTGCTACTGACCCCTGTGAGTGCTACTGACCCCTGTGAGTGCTACTGACCCCTGTGAGTGCTACTGACCCCTGTGAGTGCTACTGACCCCTGTGAGTGCTACTGACCCCTGTGAGTGCTACTGACCCCTGTGAGTGCTACTGACCCCTGTGAGTGCTACTGACCCCTGGAAGCGTGTGCATAAATGCATGAGGAGTCACACCATCCTCAGCACCACGCCTTACCCCTGTGAGTGTGTGAGTATATAGAGCACACATAGAGAGCACTTAGCACCGCCATGTGTGGATTAACACGGGACCACCCCACCCTAACCATCCCTCAGTCGCCCCCCATCCCTCCTACACCTCCCCTCCTCCTGTGTGTTTTTCCCTAACTTGCTACCCGCAGCGGGAGAGTATTTGGAGCTGACACACGAACTGGAGAGAAGGCTGGTGCAGGTGATGTCAATCAACAGTTTGAATGTTGGTGATTTGACTGTAGGTGGTGTGACTGTAGGTATGAGGGGTGTTACATGCTGCTTGCAGCGGGAAAGTATTTGGAGCTGACACACGAACTGGAGAGAAGGTTGGTGCAGGTGATGTGACTCTAGGAGAGGTTTGTGTGACTATAGGTGGTGTGATATAAGCGTACCATCCCATTCTCTCTCACGACTGTGTCTCCCACAGCTAGTCCCCTGTCCCTCCCTTCCCCCCCTTGCCCCTCCCCTTCTCTTTCCCTCCCCTCCCCCCTGGTCCTATTCATGAACTCACATGGCGCCTTTCTGTGCACACTGATTTTGAGATTTTTGAAAACCCCTTTGATTCTCCCAAACCACACCACCCGCCCATTCCCGTACTTTCAGGTGCCCATTTGCGTGCACATATCGGACCCGAGCGTCCAATCAGTGATCGCCACGTCAAACCCGTGCCTCATCTCCCGATCCTCCTTCATTGGCTCGGCGTCTACGCCCCGAGGGGCCCATGCGAACGCCATGGCAGGTGGGTGACTGTTGGGGTCGTGTTCGCATGGGCCCCTCGGGGCCTATGTGAACGCCATGGCATCGAAGGAGTCATGTTCGTGTCGGGTTTCGACGTGACTTTTGAGTCAACTCAACTCAAAAGTCACCTCGTTACCATGACTGTTGGGGAGCATGGCATCGATGGAGTCATGTTCGTGTCGGGTTTCCAGATCTCCAGATCGGTGAGATACTTGTGTCAAAAATTGCTGCTTGCTTCCACGAGGATCATACGTATAAAGTTTCGACCTGGATCCAGCAGGTGACTCGTCCTACTCCAACAGGTAACTTGGTGATACGTGTGTCAAATAATGCTTCTTGCTTCCACGAGGATCACCAATTGCCCCCTCTCCCCGCTCCGCCTCCTCCCCTCGAGGAGAGGTCGACTCAAGTAGCGCAATGTTTCCACGTGTGGTGGTGAGTTGTTGGCATCAAAGCCAACCCTTCCCTTCCCTCCCTTTTTCCCCCTTCGTCCCCCCCAGCTGTTCGTCTGGCAATCCACATGCCCACACACTCCCGTGCTTCACGATCCAGCCAGCAAGTGTTGAGTTGTTTGGATCTCTTAAGTGATCCTTCTCCCCCTCCCCCTCCCTCCTCGCCCCTCCCCCCCCCCAGCTGTTCGTCTGGCAATCCACATGCCCACACACTCCCGTGCTTCACGATCCAGCCAGCAAGGGGACGACGGTGCTGCTGCTGCTGCTGCGGCTGCAGCTGGTGCCGCTGGTGCTGTTGGTGGTGGTGGTGGTGGTGGTGGCAATAATGGTGCAGATAGTGACGGATTTGCTGGTAGTGAGGCTGCTGATATGGAGTACGGTTCGGTTGTGGAGTATGGGCTCATGGTGCTCGTGCTGCATGGGGACGAGAAGAGGTGAGGGGGGGAAGGGATGGGTAAAAGGTCGATTTACCAATGGCTGTGTTGAAGCCTCAGTTGTAGACTAGCGGACTCGTCGGCCGGATGGTTTTCTAAGTCAAATGAGTTCCCAAACAACCCAACTAAGATGTGGTTGGGTTGAAGAACACTGTATTGGGGTCGGGTTCAAACCCAACCCGACTTGGCCATAACTGACAATGATAACGGTAACGGGCCAGGCCGAAATCGGGTAAAAACCCGACCCGAACCCGACCCGATGCTCAGAGTCGGATATCGGGCCGGTCCGACTCGCCTGGGTGTACCCAGGCCCTGATTTGAGTCGACCCAAAACACGGCTCATTTTTATTCGATGCAAAACCCGGTCCGACTCGCCTGGGTGTACCCGTGCAATGATTGAGTCGACCCAAAACACGGCTCATTTTGAGTCGATGCAAAACCTGCCGACTCGCCTGGGTCAGCGTCCAGAGAATTTTGGCCCCACCCGACTGGGTGTCCTTTTTAAGCCTAGATACCCCTTGGATTGAAGCTCCCCTCTATATTCAAGCTACCCCCTTGGATTCAAGCCGCCCCCTTGGATTCAAGCCGCCCCCTTGATTCAAACCGCCCCCTTGGATTCAAGCCCTGGTCCACGAGCGCGCCTTGGTCCACGAGCGCGCCTTGGTCCACGAGCGCGCCTTGGTCCACGAGCGCGCCTTGGTCCACGAGCGCGCCTTGGTCCACGAGCGCGCCTTGGTCCACGAGTGCGCCTTGGTCCACGAGCGCGCCTTGGTCCACGAGTGCGCCTTGGTGGAGATGGTGGAGGCAGTGGCAGTCCCAGTCACTATCGCCTTCCTCCCACTCCGTGTACCCCCTCTTTCCCCCCCTGCCTTTCACAATCCCTATCCTTGGCTCCCCCCACCCACCAGGCAGTGGCAGCCGCACGAGGTGGAGATGGTGGAAGCAGTGGCAGACCAAGTGGCCATCGCGCTCTCACATGCTGCAGCGCTGGAGGAGTCGCAGGTAAGCAGGACAGAGACTCTTTCTCTCCCCCACTTTTCCATTCTTTATTTGACTTGAGATGAGAGCAATATGAATAAAGCAGTGGCGGACCAAGTGGGGTTTGCGCTCTCACATGCTGCAGCGCTGGAGCAGTCGCAGGTAGGCAGGAATCCCCTACTCGCACCCTCTCACATGCTGCAGTACTGGAATGGTCGCAGGTAGCCCTTGAGTCGCTCTTATAGTCACCTCGATACACTGTCACACAGCTCCGTTTGAGTCAACACAAATGGCGTCCTCCTTGTCTTTCACCCCTTCCATTCCTTCCCATTCCTCACACACGGAGGCGCAGGGAGGAGATGGCGGAGCAGAATGCAGCCATGCAGATGGTGCGGGTGAGTGCAGAAGAGGGTAGTTTCTTTTCCAATACAGCATGTCCTCTCCCCCTTTCCCCCACCACCCGACCCCACACAGCGGCGCAGGGAGGAGATGGCGGAGCAGAATGCGGCGATGCAGGTGGCACGGGTGCGAGCAGAGGAGGCGATTCAAGCCAGGAACGACTTCCTGTCCGTCATGAATCATGAGTGGATGTGCCCACTCCTTATCCCCTCTCTCTCGCCCCTCCGCCTCTCCCCTCCCTCCCCTCATCGACACCCCCCCATTCCCACTTGCTCACGCAGAGGCGCAGGGAGGAGATGGCGGAGCAGAATGCGGCGCTGCAGGTGGCGCGGATTAGAGCAGAGGAGGCGATTCAAGCCAGAAACGACTTCCTGTCCGTCATGAATCATGAGATGAGGAGCCCTCTGCACACCATCCTCGCGCTCTCCTCCCTCATGGAGGTACATGGTTCCACCCAGCATGGTCCACCCAGCATGGTCCACCCAGCATGGTATGGTCCACCCAGCTCTAAGTCTAGGTACCTAGTCCCACCCAGCATGCCATGAAACCAGCCTTCCAACCTGCTCCTGTCAGTCATGAATCATGAGATGAGGAGCCCTCTGCACACCATCCTCGCACTCTCCTCCCTCATGGAGGTGTGTGCGTGCTTGATTCAAGGGACCTCACATTCGTCTTCCTGTCACTGGTGAGCCAATCTCTGAGCTGACTAGGAAATGAAGCACGGGATGGGGAGTTATATGCACACCCTTCTTCATCTCCTTAACCGGCGCTGATAGTTTTTACAACGACCACAAGGCTTGCTGCGGCTCGAATCCATCTTCAACCTGCATGGGATGAGGAGTTGTATGCACACCCTTCTTCATCTCCTTAATCGGCGCTAGTAGTTTTTACGACGACCACAAGGCTTGCTGCGGCTCGAATCCATCTTCAACCTGCATGGGATGAGGAGTTATATGCACACCCTTCTTCATCTCCTTAATCGGCGCTAGTAGTTTTTACGACGACCACAAGGCTTGCTGCGGCTCGAATCCATCTTCAACCTGCATGGGATGAGGAGTTGTATGCACACCCTTAATCATCTCCTTAACACACCCCCTCCCGGTCTAACCCTGTCTGTTCTTTTAACGTGTGTGTGCTTGTAAGGTTGTGGCATGGTGTGTGTGGTTTGGCTCGGTGTTGTATGGCTTAGCATGTATGTGATGCCATGGTATGGCATGTGGAGTGGCACTGGATGGCATCAATCGGCATGCTTGATATCTCATGACGTGGCATGGCATGCGCATGGCATGGCATGACGTGGCATGGCATGGGCATGGCAACAGGAGGACGACCTAACAGATGAGCAAGGGCCCATGGTGGCCACTCTCACTCGCAGTGCTTCCATGCTCACATCCCTCATCTCCGACGTCATTGGGGTGGCCCAACGGCAAGAGATCAAGTAAGGAAAGGATATAGTACCGCATTGAATTGCACAGAACTGCCCTGGACCGCATGGTACCGCATTGAATCGCATGCAGGGGCGGACCCATGGTGGCTGCTCTCTCTCTCGCAGCGCCTCCATGCTAACATCGCTCATTTCTGACGTCTTCGGGGTGGCACAGCACCAAGAGATCAAGTAAGGAGTGATGCTGCACTGACCGCACTGAACCGCACTCTTGCCTGTCTTGTGTTAGAGGCAAATGCTGCACGATGCAGCATCCCTGGCATGGCTCTTGATGCGCGCCAAGGGGCTCAACTTCCCCTCCCTGTCCCTCCCCACCCCACCTTCCCCTCCCTGTCCCTCCCCATCCCAGTCTCGTGCTGGAGCACCGTCCGTTCGATCTAAGGCGAATGCTGCACGACGCGGCGTCCCTGGCATGGCCCATGATGCGAGCCAAGGGACTGAGCTTCTCAGTGGTGATTGCGAGGGAGGTGCCTCGGCACGTGGTGGGGGATGAGCGGCGATTGCTGCGCGTGGTGCTGCACATCATAGGCCATGCCATTGACTCCACGCATGAGGTAAAGAGGGAGGAGTGCCGAGTGATGCCGAGTGGTGCTGTGTGGTGCAGCAGCAGGGAGGTGCCTCAGCACGTGGTGGGGGATGAGCGGCGATTGCTGCGCATGGTGCTGCATATTATCAGGCATGCCATCGACTCCACCGATGAGGTAAAGAGGGAGGAGTGCTGAGTGGTGCTGAGTGGTGCTGAATGGTGGTGCTGCACGTTGTAGGCCATGCGATCAGCTCCACTCATGAGGTGAGGGGAATGTGTGCTGCTTTCGCTGCATACTTGTGTGCTGCTTGTGCTCATGCATGCCAGAGGGACGTGCTGCTGCTGCTTGCCTCAACACGCATGCACTGCTGGGCTGAAGGAGCCTACCTACTCGCAATGTGGCTGTGGGGGGTATCAGACGACAGTCACAGCCCAGAATAGCTGCTCTGAAGCCACCTCACCACCCCGCCTCCGTGCTCTCTCCCTCCCCTCTTTACCTTGCAGGAAACCATTTCTGTGGCTGTGGAGCTATCAGACAGCAGTCACGGGCCGGCATAGTTGGTCCGGAAGCACGACCCAGCCTATGCGCCTTTGGGAATTGTCAAACGTGACACAAGCATCTCCCTCCCCTCGCCCCTGCAGGGAACCATTTCTGTGGCTGCAGGGCTATCAGACGGCAGTCACGGGCCGGCACGGAAGCCACATATCGAGCATCCTTCACATGCCTTCCACTCAGCTGTATGTTCCATTCCCTCATTCCCTCCTTTGTTTGTTTGTTTTTTTCTCTCGTTTGATCCACTGCGCGTCCTTTCGACGGCCTTGCTGTACGTTTGCGCATTTCATGTGCACGTTCGATCCATGTGCACGTTCGATCCATGTGCACGTTCGATCCATGTGCACGTTCGATCCAAATGCACGTTCGATCCATGTGCACGTTCGATCCAAATGCACGTTCGATCCATGTGCACGTTCGATCCATGTGCACGTTCGATCCATGTGCACGTTCGATCCATGTGCACGTTCGATCCATGTGCACGTTCGATCCATGTGCACGTTCGATCCATGTGCACGTTCGATCCATGTGCACGCTCGATCCATGTGCACGTTCGATCCATGTGCACGCTCGATCCATGTGCACGCTCGATCCATGTGCACGTTCGATCCATGTGCACGTTCGATCCATGTGCACGCTCGATCCATGTGCACGTTCGATCCATGTGCACGCTCGATCCATGTGCACGTTCGATCCATGTGCACGTTCGATCCATGTGCACGTTCGATCCATGTGCACGCTCAATCCATGTGCACGTTCGATCCATGTGCACGTTCGATCCATGTGCACGTTCGATGCATGTCTCAAAAACGAGATCGCCTTTGAGAGTTCTCAAAATCACGATCGCCTTTGAGAACTCTCGGAAAAAGGCAAAGAATTAGCTTTGGAAGATTCCATCCGTCACAATCCCCTCTTCCGATCTCTCCCAGATCCCCCGCCAGGACTACGTGAGGGTGCTCGTGTTTTGGAGACGCTAATTCTTTGCTGCCGATCGTGTTTTTGAGACAGTCACAGTCACAGACGCGGAGGCCAGATCGATCGCCGCGAAGGCCTGCCTTTCGGGCGGATCAGGTGCCTCTCGGGCATGAACGCCGAGAGGAAGGATCTGCACAAGGAAGAGCCGGCGGATCGGAATCGGCCATGGTGAGGAGTGATCCGTGGCGGACGGAAACGCGCCATGGGGGTGGCGATCTGGGATATCGCCAGGAGACGGGAGCGTATCGCTCGCCGGATGCAAGTTATCGCCGTCGCGAAGATCGGAGGCGCGGGCGAGGCTTGGAAGGACTGTTTTCGGGCCGAGAGGGAGACCTCAACGCTGGCGGAGTAGAAGAAAGCGACGCGGCGGACACCTCGCAGGAGTCCGAGCACGGCGATGCGGCGGGGAACGGCGCCGACGGCCGGAAGGAGGACGTGAGCAAGCAGCGCGACGTGCCTGCAGAAGCAACAGAAGCAGATCTCGCGCAGGCGAGCGTGGCGGCAGAGACAAGCGCGGTGGAGGCGGACGGAACCAGCGGTGCTCGAAACCCGCCGCGCAACGGAGAGGAGCGTGGCAGCGGGAGGCGTAGCAGCAGCTCGCGCTCTCCAGATTTGCGTCAGCAATGCGACGCGGGATGCGGCGACGGCGTGCGCTCGCCAGATCACCGGCGCACTTGTGATGGGGGGCGCGGCGACGGCATGCGCTCGCCAGATCCGCGGCGCACTCGTGATGGGGGACGCGGCGATGGTGTGCGCTCGCCAGATCCGCGACGCACTCGTGAGGGGGGAAGCGGCGACGGCGTGCGCTCGCCAGATCCGCGGCGCACTCGTGATGGGGGACGCGGCGACGGCGTGCGCTCGCCAGATCCGCGGCGCACTCGTGATGGGGGACGCGGCGACGGCATGCGCTCGACAGATCCGCGGCGCACTCGTGATGGGGGACGCGGCGATGGTGTGCGCTCGCCAGATCCGCGACGCACTCGTGATGGGGGAAGCGGCGACGGCGTGCGCTCGCCAGATCCGCGGCGCACACGTGATGGGGGACGCGGCGACGGCGTGCGCTCGCCAGATCTGCGGCGCACTCGTGAAGGGGGACGCGGCGACGGCATGCGCTCGCCAGATCCGTGGCCGCTGCATGAGAGGAGACACGGAAGTGGATACCACTCGCCAGATTCGAGGCAACACCGGGACAGTGGGCGCGGGGGCAGCACGCACTCACTAGATCCGCGGAGAAATCGCGACGGGAGAAGCAGAGGGGATTCGCGCTCGCCAGAGCCTCGTTACTCGCGTGATGAGAGACGCGGAGGAGGCAATCGCTCGCCGGACATGCAACGGTACCGTGGAGAGAAGTGGGGAGACAAGGCGCACTCGCCCGACTGGCGCCTGCGTCATGGGGAAAGCCGGGGAGGCGGATATCGCTCACCGCATCGGCAGCAGAGCAGGGATGGGAGGCGCGGTGGTGGGTCTCGATCGCCTGGCCGGTATTGGCAGCACGACGGAAGATGTGCCGGACAGGGAGGGCGGGAGCAACATGGCGATAGAGAAGAAAGCAGTGGGCTGGTGCACAGCCTGGAGCGAGCCAAGGAAGCAAGGGAGGGCCTACAGCGGGCAAAAGGAAGGGGAGCATCAGGGAGATCGGTGGGAGGGCCGAGCGAGGCATGGGGAGAAGGAAGGGGAGGCACGGCCGTGGGCATGAGGGTGGAGGTGCCTACACGCTTCTCAGGAGATCAGCACACGGGGCCCACGCTGAAGAACTACCTCATGCAAGTGGGCAATGTGCGGTACCGATGTGAGAGGAGCGGCATGGATTCAGTAGACTTTTTCCTGAGCCTGCCGAACACACTGGAAGGGGAGGCAGAGACATTGTACAGGATGAAGATGGATGAGCTGTTGGAGAGGGCAGGGAGGTATGGGGAAGACCCCACGGAGGCATTCCTAAGACGGCTGAAACGGCAGTTCCCAGGCCACACCGCGGAGAAGATAAGAGAGTTTCAGGACTTCAGGAAGGGGCGGGGCGAGTCACTACTCACCTACTACAACCGATTGGTTAACCTGGCAGAGGATGTGAGTTGCGCGGACACGGCCCTGCTCGTGAGTAAGTTTCTGGACGGCCTGGAGGGTACTTTGGGAAGCGGGCTGCGGCTGAAAGTGTACGAGAGGGGGGCTGACGTGACGCTTGATGAAGTATTCGAGCTAGCAGAGAAGATGGAGATGGCCCAGAGGAAGCTCGAAGCCTACCGGCAACGCCCAGTGGAGCGAGGCAGAGGACCTACGTGGGCCGCAGCCATGATACCAGAAGAAAAGGAAAGAGGAGGGGGAAGAGGGGATAACAGGACTGACACACGGACGTGCCACCGATGCGGGCAGCCAGGGCACTTGCGCAGAGACTGCAAGAACTGCGACTCCTGTGGTAAGCCCGGACACCGGCGGCGGGAATGCCCAACGGCGCCAAAGTGTGACATCTGTGGGAAGGGAGGGCATGCAACGAGGGAGTGTTATCAGCGGGAGGGAGCAGCGAGGAGGACACCAGAGGACCTGGAAAGGCAGATTGGCAAGCTACAGGCTCAGCTGCAGGCAATGGGACCGCGACGCGAGGCAGAAGCGAGGATGTACGCTAAGAAAGAAAAGGAGGAGGATGTAGAGCAGGATGAAGAAGCTGCATTCATGAGCTGGGCAGGAAGAGCGGAGGATGAGGTGGAACACAAGGAGCAGCCAGCATACATGGCATGGAGAGGAAGGGAGGAGATGGGGCTGCGCAGCGGGGGAAGGGATGCACGGAAGGAGCAGGTGAGGAAGGAACGAGAGAAAGGACAGAAGCCGGAAGCGAAAGAAGAGAGGTGCACAGCAGCACGGCACCCTCAGGAGCGGCTGGCGTGCCAGACTTCCGTGCTGCTGATACAAGGAGGCGCGCTGTCGGTGGAAGGGGAGAAGGCCAAGACGGCTATCATAGACACTGGCGCGCAGAGCGTGATATTAGGGAAGGGGATGGCCGAGAAGCTGGGACTGTGGGCACCGGACAGACATGTAGTGAAGGGGATGCTGGTGATGACAGCAGAGGGAGGAGAGTCAAAGTGGATGCCATGTACAAGGACTCCAATTGAACTGACGGTGCTCAAAGGAGAGAAGCACGAAACGCCGGTCAGGATCAGGTGCGGGATCTCAGAATCTGAAGATTTCGACGTTTTGGTGGGCACGGAGATGATCTTTGCACTGGGCATGACCATCTGCTTCTGGAGGGAGACGGTGGAATTCAGGACCAGGTGGTGGAGGAAGGGTGAGCCACTGGGACAGCTGCCGGTGCAGTTCGTCAAGACAGAGCCGAAGCGGGCCTACAGGGCGGATCTGAAGGAAATGACAGCGAAGCAGGGGGCACAGGAGAGCACGACAAGCAAGGGACAGGGCAGAGAGCTGAGGATGCGCTTCATGGACGAGCCTAGCCAGCAGACTGATTGGCAGCAACCTATCCGCCTGGTGGAACTATTTGGGGGTATAGGGGCGGGGTTGGCAGCAGTGGTGCGGAACGGGATCGCAGTGAAGCAGTGGATTTACGTAGAGAAGGCGGCAGAAGCAAGGAAAATGGCGGAGCATCACGCATGGCAGCTGCACCGCGAGTTCCCGGAGCTGTTGAAGGAAGAAGTGATCAAGGCAGCAATGAGTAGAGGAGTGCACGATGTACGGGCCATCACAGAGGCTGAGGTGGCGAGCTGGGGGCACGTGGACCTGTTGGTGGCGGGATGGGAATGCCAAGGGGTATCATGGGCAGGGAAGGGCAAGGGTGAGCAAGACCTACGGACACAACTGATGGAGGACTTGTTCAAAATTCTGGAGTGGCTGCAGGCTCGACAAAGCAGGGTGGCCTACCTGCTGGAGCATTTAGACATGGAAGGAGATGTGCGCGAGCCCATACGAGTAGTAAGGGAGCGAGTGACCAGACAGGTGGGAAAGGGAGTGAGCTGCGACGCGACACGGATGGGAGCTTACGCACACAGGCTCAGGATGTACTGGCAGAATGTGGTGCCAGCAGAAGACCTGCAGAAGGAGATAGAGGGGGTACGGAGAGCAGGGGGGCGGAAGCTGAGCGATATACTGGAGCCTGGGCGAACGCCAGCACCAGTGTATAAGAAGAGCTACAGCCGACATTATCCGTGCAATCAAGTGGGGCAGGAGAGGCAAGCACTGCCTACGCTAGTGTCATATGAGGGGGCAGCAGGGTACCAGATGGATGGGAAGCAGCCAGGCCCAGGACTAGTGCTCGACCACGGGAAGGGAAGGTGGGAGGAGCCCACGGCCCTGGAGAGGGAGCTGGCTATGGGGTACAAGGAGAACGCTACAGCAGCCCCTGGCGTCACTGAACAGGAACGGAGGCGGGCAATGGGGAACGCAATGGATGGGTACGTGATGAGGTGGTTGGTGCAGCGGATGTGGAGAGAGACAGTGCTGCGCTGGGGACTGAAGGAGGGAGAGAACACAGTAGCAACGGTGAGGCAGGGGGCATGGGCCTGCCTGCCGAAAGCAGAGCATGAGTGGAAGATAGGTGAGAGCATGAGTGAGGGAGGGAAGGCAGCCATGCTGGCACTGCTGGTTAGGCACAGGAGGGGCTTCGCTTTCACCCTGCAGGAGTTGGGGAAGTGCAAGATCAAGGAGATGGCATTGAAGCTGAGCAGCGATGAGCCGGTGTTCCACCGCCGAAGAAAGATGCCGCCTGGGGATGAGGCGATCTGCAGGGAGAAAATAAAGGAATTACTGGAAGCTGGATTGATCAGAAGGTCAGAGTCAGAGTACGCAACCCCGACGGTAGTGGCAGCCAGGAAGGATTTGACAGGAGAGGTGCTGAGCCGCAGGATGTGCGGCGATTACAGAGATCTTAATAAGATCACCGTGCCGGACAGGTACCCCATGCCGATGGCGGAGGAGCTCTTTGACAAGATGGCCGACGGGGTGTACTTCACGACGCTGGACCTGCGCCAGGGATTCAATCAAATAAAAATCAGGGAAGAAGATGTGAAGAAGACAGCCTTCCACAGACCGGACGGGCTGTACGAGTGGCTATACATGCCCTTCGGCCTACGGAACGCCTCGGCGGTGTTTCAACGAGTCATGGACGCGGTGCTGCGGGGAATTGAACATGCAGCATGCTACATCGATGATGTAGTCATCTTCAGCTTGACCGAGCAGCAGCATCTGGAGGACGTGGAGAGGACCCTGAGTGCAATAGAGGAGGCAGGGCTCACATGCCATCCCAACAAATGCAGGTGGGGGGAACGGACGGTGCAGTACCTGGGGTATGAGGTGACAGGGGGACAGATCGGGATCCAGCAAGCAAAGGTACAGGTGCTGGACAGGCTGAGGGAACCTAGAGACAAGTCAGGGCTGCGCGCGGTCTTGGGCTTCCTCAGCTACTACAGGCGCTTTGTGCCTAACTTCAGTAAGAGGGCGGCGGTGCTGAATGGGATACTGCGTGAGGACAAGGCATGGGAGTGGGGAGAGCAGCAGAGGGTAGCACTCCAAGACCTCATGACAGCCGTAAAGACGGCGACAGTGCTACGGCTGCCAACAGCAGACCAACCTTTCGTCCTCTACACCGATTGGAGCAGCCAGGGGATGGGGGCAATACTGTGCCAGGGGGTGGAGGGAGTGGAGAAGGTGGTAGCCTACGCCAGCAGGAGCTGCAACCCCGCAGAGGCGCAGTATAGCTCATACATAGGGGAGGGACTGGCGGCAGTGTGGGCAGTTGGGCACTTCAGGGTGTACCTGCAGGGCCGCGAGTTCACCTTGGTCACTGATCATCAGCCCCTCACGTGGCTGATGACCACACCAGGGCTGACGGGAAGGAACGCCAGGTGGGCCGTGAAGCTGCAGGAATATGATTTCCAGATCAGGCACAGGCCGGGGAAGACGCTGCAGCACGTAGACGGTCTCTCCCGTAATCCACCACTGCTGGAAACAGGACAAGGAACACAGGGGACGGAGGGGACAGAGCAGGAGCCAGCGCACACCCTGATCATGCTGGCGAGAGAAGTGGAACAAGTCGGTGCCAAGGGGAGTAAGGGGCCAGCGGACATATGGCAGGATGAGAAGGCGATGAAGTGGGTGAGGGGAGAAACAGAGGAAGACGAGGCAGTGTCTGACAGAGTGAGAGCACGAGGACACCACTACAGGTGGTACCAGCAGCAGCTGCAGGTCAAGACAGAGGACGGTTGGAAGCTGGTGCCAGCGCCACAGGACCGTGAAGCAATAATCAAAGAGGTACACACTAAGCTGGGACACTTCGGACATGAGAGGACCGTACATCTGCTGAAGACAGGCTGGTGGTGGGAAGGGATGCGCAGACAGGTGAAGGAGTGGGTAGAGGGGTGTGAGGCATGTCAGAGGAGCAAAGCCAACCTGACGCAGGCCAAGGCAGAGCTGAACTCACTGCCAATCTGCGGGCTAGGGTTCCGATGGTCCTTAGACCTGGCAGGGGAGCTGCCCCTAAGCAGGAGTGGGAACCAGTACATCGTGTTCATGGTGGAGCATGTGAGCAAGTGGCTGGAGGTGAGAGCCATCCCCAGCAAGAGCTCAAGGCACATTGCAGCAGCTTTCAAGGCACAGGTCGTGTGTAGGTTTGGGGCATGTGGGGAGGTGCTTACAGACCAGGGAACGGAGTTCCAGGGGGAGTTCAAGAAGTTGCTGGCGGAGTCGGGCATCACCCATCGGAAGACCTCTCGCTACCACCCGCAGAGCGACGGGCTGACTGAGCGAGCAGTGCAGACCTTCAAGCGAGGGCTCCGGGCCTATGGGGAGCAGCGGAAGAGGGACTGGGATGAGGAGCTGGACTGGATCGCAGCAGGGTATAGATTCGGGAAGCAGGCAGCATTGAAGGATCATTCCCCATACAGCCTGCTATACGGACGGGACCCAATCCTGCCTGTGGGGGCACCACGGGTGCTGACAGACACAGTGACAGCGGGCACAATCAAGAACTGGGTAGCCCTGTCCGAGGTGAGGGCGCGGTACATGCGTTACATGATGCCAGCCGCGCTGGAGAACCTGCGCACCGCACAGCTCAGAGATGCCAGGCGATATGAACAAAGGCAGCAAAAGGGGGAGGGCCGAGCGGCAAGGGCCATCAGCGAAGGACAGGAAGTGTATCTGAAGAAGGCCAAGCAGGACACCCTAGATGTGGGATTGGGGACAGTGCGCTGGAAAGTCAAGGAGGTGCGCCCATCAGGAGTGCTGGTCTTGGAAAATGACGCGGGGGCGCAGCTGCGGGAACATCAGACGAACACGGCAGTGATAAGGGGAACAGGGCCTCAGCGTACTGGTCCTGTGACCCGCGCTCAAGCTGCTCGAGCACGGGCACAGGAGGGGGCAGAGAGTGGCTGAGGCAATAGAGGGAACGAAGGAGAGACAGAGCAGGAGAATCAAGGCAAAGAAGAGTGCAGCCGCAACTCCGACAAGGAGGGTAGGAGTCCAGGCATGCTCTCACATCCTTTCCACCCCGCTCCTCCCTCTCTCTTCCCCACTTCCCTGACCTCCTCTATCCCCTCCTCTCCCCTTCTCCCCTCCCCACTCCTAACAGATCTCACATCAGGACCATGTACGAGTGCGAATCACAGTCACAGACTCAGGAGGGGAGGAGTCCAAGCAGGCAACGTTTAACCCGCACCGCACTTTATTCCCCTCATGCTCCGTTGCTCCCTTCCCTTCCACTCCACCCTTCTCCTTCCCCACCCTATGCTCCCAGATCTCCCGTCAGGACCATGTACGAGTGCGAATCACAGTCACAGACTCAGGAGGGGAGGAGTCCAAGCAGGCCCTACTCCACCGCTTTGAGGAAGCAAGGGAGCGGGAGCAGCTGCTAAAGGGGCAGGCTATAGAGGGGATGAAGGCACTGGGGCAGGATCCATCAAACGTGGGCATAGGGCTGTTTCTATCTGGGCCGGAGGAGGGTTGGGTGGGGTGCACACGTTTGCAGGGAGGGATGGAGTCACAGGGGAGGTTGGGGTCGCAAGGGGGAATGGAATCGCAGGGTGTGCAGGCACTTGCACATGCACATGCACATGCACAACATGCAAATGCACAACATGCACGTGCACAACATGCACGTGAACATGAACATACACATCCGCATGCTCCTGCGCATACACATGCACATGATCCAGACCACAGGGTCAGTCGGACGTCCAGCAACGAGAGCTCCTACAGCCGAGCCTCACACACCCAGCCTCCTGCACAGATGCCCCACCCTCTTTCGCCCGACCCTCTGGCTTCCCACCCCCTGGCATCCCACCCCATGGTTTCCCACCCTCTCACTCGTCCTCTGCCCGACACAACAAGCCGTCTCAGAGACACCACGTCTAGGGATACTGTTCCCTCGGCACAGTCCCACCTCCCCCAGTCTGACCCAGGCGACGCTTCAGCTGCAGCAGCTGTGGAAGTTTCTGCTGCATTAGCAGCTATTGAAGCACCTCAAAGATCGGCAGCAGAGGATTTGAGGGAGGCGGAGGCAGCAGAGGCGGAGAGGGAGCGGCAGGCGAGGATAAGCGAGCAGTTCGTCGCTCCCTCCTGCGCCATCTGTCAGAAGCTACTCCTGCTCATGGACGGGCATTACTGGAACGCCACCCAGCCTGCTGATCCCGGCGCTGCTACTGCGTTTTCCGTGCGGTTACTGTGTGACCGCACGAGGAGAAGGCACAGGAGGAGGAGGCATATGATGAATAGTTTGGAAGGATCGGGGGATGAGGGGTCCGGGAGTGAGGAGGATGGGGAGGTGGAGGTGGGGAGTGATAGTGACGAGTCGTCGTGCTCGATTGGGGCGTATATTCAAGAGCTGGAGGGGATTCGTGTGCTGGTGAGTGATGCAAGTGACTCTGTTTTGAGACGTCTCAAAAATTCAAGTTCTGGTGAGTGATGCAAGTGATTTCTTAGGTGGCTCAAGCGTTATACACTCGATTGGGACGCATATTTAAGAGGTGGAGGGGATTCGTGTGCTTGTGAGTGAGGATCAAGGATACTCGACTTTGTGATTAGGGGGTATGTTCAGTAGCTGGGGTTCATTGGTGAGAGGTCTTTTGAGGCGCCTCAGAAGTCGTTTCAGTAGCTGGGGTTCACTGGTGAGAGATGCAAGTGCTACTTAGGTAAATCAGACCTCATGCTCGCTCGGGGCGTATATTCAAGAGCTTAACGGCATTCGTCTGCTGGTGAGTGAGTGAGTGAATGGGAGCGTGAGTGAGTGAGTGAGTGAGTGAGTCCTGTGTTGGATGCCCTTCGTGGTTGTCTGCCTGAATCCCTCTTCCCCGCACCCTTTCCCCCACATGCTCCCCCACTTCCCCCATCCCTTTCCCCTTTCTCCTGCCCGTCAACCAGCTTGTGGAAGACAACGTGGCCAATCGCATCGCGACACATCAGCTGCTCCTGTCGCTGCACTGCCACGTCACCCTAGCCGCCAGCACACAGGAGTGCCTGTCAATTCTCTCGGGCAGCAAGAAGAGCCCGTCAGCCTCCCCCATTGCAGACATTGTTCTTCTGGATATCTGCATGCCCGATGTCGATGGGCTTGAAGCAGCCCGCTGCATACACAAGATGTTCCGGTGAGTCATTCCTTGGGCGCTTCGGGGCCGTACAAACAAGCATACCTGCCTGGGAATTCTCCCGGGCAGCAGAGAGGAAGAGCCCGTCAGCCTCCCCCGTTGCAGGCATTGTCCTTCTAGGTATCTGCATGCCGGATGTCGATGGGCTGGAAGCAGCCCGCTGCATACACAGCATGTTCCCCTGAGTAATTTCTTATGCGCCCCAAAGACGTATTACATGATACATGCCTGCCTGGAAATTCTCTCTAGCAGCAGTTGTGTTTTGGGACGACCCAAAACACACTTCGGCGCTGCAGACACATACCTGCTGGTGATTCTTTTCCAGCAGAAAAAGACCATCATGCATAGGCGTTGGCCGTGTATTTCCCATCGTCTAGAAACAGTCCATGTTTGTATACGGTACATTAAGTGGTCTTATTTCGTCCTGATTCCCAACACCCTTATGATTGTCTCGTTGCCTTCCCCACTAAACTAAGCAGTCCTGACAATCGACCATTTATTGTCGGCATAACGGCAAGAACGGACGAGGTTCTTGTGGCAGCATGTGGGACAGTGGGAATGGATGAGGTTCTTTTAAAGCCGGTTAGCCTACGGCAATTAGCAGCTGCCCTCTGCCATGTTGTAGCCGCTATGTGAAGCTGGATGCTCTACATATTTGAATTGTAAGTTTGTATAAGCCACTGGTTATGTGAAGTGTGGCAAGAGCTCAAGGTAGGATATAGCAGTTTGAGCTATTTATGTCGTCTTCCTATTTATAGAGTCTTCTGAAGCACGCATGTCTAATCGAACACCTCGATATCATCACGGAACTTTGGAAGCTTCGATATGGGGTCCATTGCGCTTGTCCCACAGCCCACCATCCCTCGCGCACACCCTCCACCTCCAGATTGTCCGCGTGTCAGATGTTCCATTGAGCCGCGCAAATGTTTTCCGCAGCACCCGCACTCATCCTCCAATCCCCCGCCTCGCTTTCCGCCTTCTGCAGCTCACCCTCCCCCTACGCTCTGCCTTTTCCCCGAGCCCCCCCCCCCCCCCCCCCCCCCTCTTCCCCTCCCACCCCCAGTCGTGCGGGGATTCAGGGTTCCTGAATACTGAGACCTAGGGATTTACTCAAGGAAATAGCAGAACCTAATTAGTAATAATTAGTCTGGAATTCCGCACGAGTTTAGTTTTCTTTGCCCTGATCTCACGTTTCGGTGCAAGACCCTCGCTCGCGTATATTAAGCGCTTCTAGAAAGTATTTCTTATTACGTGGTGGTCGCCGGTGGGTGTTATGGTCGAATTCCTAGTTCCTCGGACCTTAGGGCAAGAAGTTATTCAATAACTCGCGATAACGTCCCATGACAAATCTCTGCTACAATTATTTTGTCGAATCTATCTCCTTATTCGCCGTCTACTGTCGGCCATTGCTTGTGCCGTTTAGTTAGGCGGCTTGACGACTTCACAATTTGACGGCTTGCTAGTTTCACGGCATTCGTCAAGACCGAGTGTAGTTAGCGGTACTGATTCCCAGACAGACCAAAGCGCCTCGTCGTTACACAAAAGCAGCAGGGGACCGAGTGCAAGGGCCCGAGTACCAGTTCTCAAATAGTCGTTCTTAGATATTACTAGAGCGGGGGACCGAGTGTAGTCAGCCAAAATGCCGCCGAAAAAGGACGTGAAGGTGTCTAAAGCGGATCTCGCGAGGAAGCAGAAGATCGTGGAGGATAAGACGTTCGGGCTGAAGAACAAGAATAAGAGCAACAAGGTTCAGAAGTATGTGCAGAACATGCAGCAGTCCGTTCAGGCGACCGCCAGAAAACAGGCCGCCGAAGATCCAACCGTCGCCAGAAAGGTAATTTCGGGAACCTTATTGGTTGGTAACCCGACTCGTATTCGCGACGACTGGAGATTCGATAGGTTAATCGGGAAGTGGCTGCTTGTTGATGCCATCACTACGATGCTATCTCCAGTTACTTGTTGATATCACTTTTGAGAATTCTCAAAAAGTGATTTCAATATGGCCTTGCTACGTTTTGTATCGCGTGTATTAGCTTGACAAGTCTCCACAGCTATGAGGATACACCGGTTTAGAATGGATTGGGCTAATGCACGTGAATGGGTTGCCTTTATTTATGTGGTCATGTGGGTTAACTGTTTTGATGTGCTTGTATGGGTTGCCTGTGTTGATGTGCTTGTATGGGTTGCCTGTGTTGATGTGCTTGTATGGGTTGGTTTTGTTGATGAGCTTGTATGGGTTGACTCTGGTGATGTTCTTGTATGAAACGACCGTGTCCATGTGCTTGTATCGGGAGTGCAGAAGAAGAAGGAGGAGGAGGCGAAGCGGGAGAAGGAGCTGAACGAGCTGTTCAGAGTGGCCATCACGCAGCCCAAGGTCCCGCCAGGCGTGGACCCCAAGTCCATTGTCTGCGAGTTCTTCCGCCACGGGCAGTGCAGCAAGGGCTTTAAGTGCAAGTTCTCGCACGATCTGAGCGTGGAGCGCAAGGGCGAGAAGATCGACCTGTACAGCGACCAGCGGGATGAGGAAGGTAAGGGGGAAGCTGGGTTGGGGGACGAGAGGGGAGGCGGTGGGGGGTTGGGGGGGAGGGTGGGGAAGAGAGAAAGAGAGTGTGACCAGGCGAAGCTGTGGCAGGTGGTGGCGTTTAAGAGCTTTCTCTGTCTCTCTTGGCTCATGCACATCTCTGTGCCCGTGTGCCCCTGTGCCTCTGCACGCCGCTGCCTGTGTGAGCGTGCGAGCAGACAGGATGGAGGACTGGGATCATGCGAAGCTGGAGCAGGTGGTGGCGTCTAAGAGATCCCCCTGTTTCTCTTTGCTCATGCATCTTTGTACCCCTGTTCCTGCGCGCGCCTCTCCCCCTCCCCCGCGTGTGAGCAGACAAGATGGAGGACTGGGACCAGGCGAAGCTCGAGCAGGTGGTGGCGTCTAAGGGCGCGGAGTACAAGAACGCCAACAAGCCCACCGAGATTGTACGTCAGCTGGGAGTGGTGGAGAGTGGTAGAGATGGAGAGAGATGGGTATGAAGCGGTAGAGAGTGGTAGGAAGGCAGGGAGAGATGAGAAGCTGGAGCAGGTGGTGGCGGCCAAGGGCGTGAAGTACGAAAACGCCAATCCCTCCACCCAGCATTCCTTGCATCCCCTCCCTCCTCCTCTTCCCTGCATTCCCCGCATCCCGCCCATTCCCGTGCTCTCTTCTCCCCCCATCCCCATCCCCCGGCTATCTCACCCCGTTCTTTATCCCCCTTTTCACACCCCCTGCAGGTGTGCAAGCATTTCTTGGAGGCTGTGGAGAAGAAGCAGTACGGGTGGTTCTGGGTGTGCCCCAACGGGGGCAAGGACTGCATGTACCGCCACGTGCTCACTCCCTCATCCTCACCCCTCCATATTCTCTGCATTCTCCCCATTGTCTCTCCCCTCCCACCTACACCCCCCTGCTTCCCCCCCTCTCCCCCCCTCTCTCCTCTCATTCCTCCGATCCCCCCTCTCCTCCCATGCAAGTGTGCAAGCATTTCTTGGAAGCTGAGGAGAAGAAGCAGTATGGGTGGTTTTGGGTTTGCCCGAACGGTGGCAAGGACTGCATGTACCGCCACGCGCTCACTCCCTCATCTCTCTGATCCTTGCTCCTCCCGTGCAGGTGTGCAAGCACTTCCTAGAGGCTGTGGAGAAGAAGCAGTACGGGTGGTTCTGGGTGTGCCCCAACGGGGGCAAGGACTGCATGTACCGCCACGCGCTGCCGCCCGGCTACGTGCTCAAGTCACAGATGAAGGCTCTTCTGGAGGAGGAGCAGGCGAACAAGCTGACCGTTGAGGAGATGATTGAAAACGAGGTGAGGGCATAAGAGAGGTGCAGAGTGGTGAGGGTAGGCTGGGCAAGGCGAGGCTACGTGCTCAAGTCGCAGATGAAAGCTCTTCTGGAGGTGAGAGGGAGACAAGAAAGAGGCTAGAGGTGGGACATGAAGGCAAGGGGAGTTGAGGCATAGAGAGGGCGAGGGGCGTTGCCTCGCAAAGTGGCTGAATGCTCAATGTGCAGATGGAATGGAAGCTGCCTCCCTTTCCCTCCTGGCAGGGGAAGATGACCACCCTTCCTCTGGAGCCACATGCAGCTCACCACTGAGCAGTGGAAGTGGCAGACGCAGGCTGTGTTGACTTTTGAGTCGGCTGAGAATTCTCCAAAGTGACTCAAAAGTCACCTCTGGAGCCACATGCAGCTCACCACTGAGCAGCGGAATCAGCAGACGCAGGCTGTCATTTTATTTTTTCCGTCAGCCGCCCTTCTGCTTATTTCTCCTCTCTCCCCTATACCCTTTTTTTTTTCCCCTCAGCGCAAGATGACAGCGAGTCACACGCTGCTGACGACCGAGATCTTTATGGAGTGGAAGCGGAAGCAGAAGAAGCAGATCGTTTCAAACTCAACCCCTCTTCACATCCTCCCGCTCTCTTTGAATATTTACGCTCCTCTCTCCCTCCTCCATCTCGCCTGTGCAGCGCAAGATGACAGCGAGTCACACACAGCTGACGACAGAGACCTTCATGGAGTGGAAGCGCAAGAAGCAGACCGTGTGCAAACTAGACCCCTCGTCACATCTTCCTTCTCTCTCCCTCCCTCTCCCCCGTTTGCAGCGCAAGATGACAGCAAGCCACACGCAGCTGACGACCGAGATCTTCATGGAGTGGAAGCGGAAGAAGCAGGAGGTGAAGGACGCTGAGCAGGCAGCCAAGAAGGCCGCACGCGCCAAGGAGGACAGAATGAGGTGAGCTGGGTAGAGGGTGCTGTGGGGTGAGGCGCATGGTGTGGTGACCCGCAGAGCAGTATGGGGTGAGGCGCTGAGCGGGCAGCCAAGAAGGCCCTGAATTTCCTGTCTTCTCTTCCCTGTGTCTCTCCCTTCCTTCCCTCCCTTGTGCAGTGGTCGCGAGCAGTTTCTGTCCGATGCCTCCCTCTTCGTGGACGACGATGCCGCATGCGACGCCTACGAGAGAGTGGAGGAGGCTGCAGCTCCCCCTGCTGCTTGTGCAGGCGTCAGAACCTCTCATTCGTCCCCTGTCTCTCCCTTCCTTTCCTCCCTTGTGCAGTGGTCGCGAGCTGTTTCTGTCCGATGCCTCGCTCTTTGTCGACGACGACGCCGCATGCGACGCATATGAGCGAGTGGAGGAGGAGGAAGGGGCCGCAGCTCCCCCTGTTGCCACTCCAGGCGAATCCAGCAGCGGTGGGGGAGGTGCTGCTGGGCCTAGCTCATCTGGAGCAGCAGGAGGGGGTGAGGCTGGTTCGTCTGGGCTTGCTCTCACGGAGGAAGATGAGATGCTATTGGCTGAGGATGATGATGAGCTGGCACCGGAGGAGCTGGAGGAGCTGGAAGCTGAGCTGGCAAAGACATCAATCTCTTGAGTCATGAGTGACGTGACTTGTGCGACAAACTAGGGATGGGATAATACCATTGGCCGGGGGTATGCTGAGCTGGCGGCTCCAGAGGAGTTGGAGGAACTGGAAGCTGAGCTGGCCAAGTATTTTCTAGGATTCGTTTTTCTGTGAAAGAGGCAGGGTTGTCAGGAATCCAAAACCTTGGGATTGACATGAAATGAATTTGTCTTGGAATGTTTCCGGCATGAGAAGCTGCTTGTTGCGATAACAATAGGGGTTTGTTGTTGGGATGCTTGTGCCTTGATGCGATTCTAGTATGCAGATCAACATGAATGCATGTAACATCTGCTAGCTCAGTAATGGGTTCGATGATATGTGATGCAGAATCTTTGCTACCTAGTAGGAAACATGTAATTTATTGCATTCTACGCTGACGCATATCGAATCAGAATATGGAAACAACAAGCCACTTTTGTTCCCCTCTGGATTAAACCTTGAAACTCGACTCACATGAAACCTCGACAGGAACCCTAGAATCCTCCGCGGTCCGCGAGGACTTTCTCTTTCACGGCGTTCGCGCGCTTGACTCTGACGCGATTGCTCCAAAATATTGGAATGGCTAGAATCTCGTAGACGATACCCAGTTGCGGAATGTTCGCACGCTCGTAGCTTCGAGTTAGTATCCGCGCACTAGGATTGACCGTAAAAAGCGGTATTATTATCGAATTCGGTATCTGGTTGTCCCTGTAGAAAGCCATGGGGCGAATGGATCCGCTGTTTCGTTTTGACGCGGATGACGATAATGAGGATGGAGGGGAGGTGGCGGCGTGGGATTTCAAGGGCGCGGGGAAGACTCTTGCGGAGGAGTTTAAGGAGCGAAAAACGACGTCCGTTGATACCAAGATTGAGATGATCCGACGGCGGAGAGCGATGGGGCTTGGGAGCACGAAGAGAGGGAGAGAAGAGGAGGACGAGGAGGAGGAGGATGAAGAGGAGGAAGAGGAGGAGGATGAGGAGGAGGATGAGGAGGAGGATGTGGAGGAGGAAGAGGAAGAGGAGGAGGAAGAGGCAGAGGAAGAGGTAGACGAAGCGGAGGAGGAGCAGGAAGAGGACGAGGAAGACGAAGAGGAGATGGAAGAGGAGGAAGGAGAGGAAGAGGAAGAAGAGGATGAGGAGGAGGAAGATGAGGAGGAAGAGGAAGACGAAGCGGAAGAAGAAGAGGAAGAGGAGGAAAATGAGGAAGAGGAAGAGGCGAGTCACAAGAAGACTAAAAAGGAGGTATGAATAAACGAGAAGGGGTTGAGAGGGGTTCAACAGGTGGGTAGCGTGGTTAGAAGAGATGGGAAGGGAAGGAACGCGGCGAGAGTGAGGTAAGCCACGCGCATCTCGCACAACGTCCAGGGTTTCGGGGTCAGGTTTTATCACAGGTTCGGGATGTGGGAAGGATTTCTGAGTTACAAGCTCTATGGTGTGGCTTAACGAAAGCATCACCCTTTGATGAAACGAAGCTTTCAACGGAGGAGCCAAACCGTTCAAAAGCCAGGTGGGCTGAGTAGTTGAGACCAAAACCTCCAGAGCCGTTCTGAACTTTTCTTGCTCAACCCCTCCCCCATCCCCTCCTTTCTCAACCCCCCCCCCCCACCCACCCTCCTTCCTCCCCCCCGCTCTTTTCAGCAGCCCAAAATAAAAGAAATCGAAAAGGCACCCAAGGCAAAAGCCAGGCGAGAGAAGGAAGGAGCAGGAAAGGGTGAAGGCAGGGAAGGGGGGGGCGGAGGGGGAGGCGGGGGGGTGTATTTCGAGGGGGCGGAGGAGGCAGGGGCGCGGTTCTCTGCGTCGTCCTTCTCAGAACTGCAGCTGTCGCGGCCGTTGCTGCGTGCGTGTGCTGCTCTGGGTTATGACAAGCCCACGCCCATTCAAGCCGCGTGCGTGCCGCTCGCCATGGCTGGGAGAGACATCTGTGGCAGCGCCATCACTGGGTCTGGAAAGGTGGGTGTGTGGGGGGGTGTTGCTCTCGTGTTGTGCCTGTATTGCGTCGCTGCTGCGTGCGTGTGCTGCGCTGGGGATTGACAAGCCCACGCCCATCCAGGCTGCATGTGTGCCGCTTGCCATGGCTGGGAGGGATATATGCGGCAGTGCCATCACTGTGTCTGGCAAGGTGGGTGTTGCCCTCTCGTGTTGCTCATGCTGCTCCACCCAAAGCGGGTGGCGGCCACTCGTGAGGCACCTAATGGTAGCACTCTTCCTCGTGATGAAAGTGTTGTTTTGAGACGTCTCAAAACCACACTTTTATCACGTGGCCACTCGTGAGGCACCTAATGGTAGCACTCTTCCTCCCTCCCTCTTCCCCTCCCTGCCCAAACAGACCGCAGCCTTTGCTCTGCCCATCTTGGAGCGTCTGCTATTTCGCCCCAAGCGCGTGGCAGCTACACGCGTGCTCGTGCTCACCCCAACCAGAGAGCTGGCTGTGCAGTGAGTGCTGTGTTCACTTGCTTTGTCGTATATCCATCCAAGCCCATCCATGTGCTGTGTTCGCTTGCTTTGTCGTATATCTACCCGAGCAACATGGATGGGCTTGGATGGAACAATGACATGTGCTTCGCCTCGCCTCGCCCTTAACGGGTGGAGGCTACACGAGCGCGTAGATTCCTTTGCTAGAGCTAGCGCAGTACACAGACAGCCGCTGCAGCCTCGTGGTGGGAGGTTCTGTCGGTACTGAAGTGTCTGACCGCCGCCACGGTGCCACCATTTTCCTCTCCATTTTCCTCTCCATTTTCCTCTCCATTTTCCTCTCCATTTTCCTCTCCGTTTTCCTCTCCATTTTCCTCTCCATTTTCCCCTCTTCCATCCTCCTTCCCCCTCACTTACTTCCCCCCACACAGAGTGCACAGCATGGTGGAGAAGCTAGCGCAATTCACTGACATCCGCTGTGGGCTCGTGGTGGGGGGGCTATCTATAAAGAACCAGGAGGTGGCTCTGCGGTCAAGGCCTGACATCGTGGTCGCGACTCCGGGCAGGTGGGAACCTGGTGGGGAGCTGGGAAGCGTACTCTTTAGGTGTCTCAAGGCTTACTCGCTGTGGGCTCGTGGTGGGGGGTCTGTCCATAAAGAACCAGGAGGTGGCTCTGCGGTCAAGGCCTGACATCGTGGTCACGACTCCTGGAAGGTGGGATGGTGTGGGATATGATCAAGGGTAAGACAGTGGGCGGTCTATGAAGTACCAGGAGGTGGCTCTGTGCTTTTGCCCCCCAACATCGTCGTCAGGTGAAGGAGAGGCGAGCGAGGAAGGAGGAGGGGGACATGTGTTTATCTGGGGCGGATTGAGATGTGATGGGGGTCAAATGGGGGCCTGTGACGGGTTGCATGTCCTCTGTGATGGGTTGCATGTCCTCTGTGACAAGTTGCATGTCCTCTGTGACGGGTTGCATGTCCTCTGTGACAGGTTGCATGTCCTCTGTGATGGGGATGTTCAGAACCGGGAAGTGGCTGGCTCTGTGCTCTCGCCCCAATGTCGTTGTTGCCCCAGCCCCGTGGGTTGTTTGTGGAGTGGACCATCTGCAGATTCTGCGCAACAGCCAGAGAAGAGTCTAGACCTCAACGACTCTTGAAGCGCCTCCATTTTCTACAAGTGCCTCAAAACTAGTCTCGCATTTTGCAGATTCTGCACAACAACCAGAGGAAGAGTCTGGACCTCAACAACCTTGCCTTGCTTTCGTGCTCTCAAGTTCTTACTCCTGTTGGGCCTTCCTGCTCCCACCAATCTCTTTCTCGTCCCCCCTCCAGGCTGGTGGATCATCTGCACAACAGCCAGAGCGTTGACTTGAACGACCTGGCCATTCTGGTGCTGGATGAGGCAGACAGGCTGCTGCAGCTGGGGTTCCAGGAGGAGGTGATGGAAATAGTAAGTGCTGCCTAAAATAGTAAGTGCTCCCAGAAATAGTTTGTGCACAAGTCTTGGTCTATTTTGAGCCATGAGTGCAGAAATGCTGCAGCAAACCAGTCTTTTCCAATTTATTGAGTCCATGTGTTCCTCCCCTCCCCTCCCCTCCCCTCCCCTCCCCTCCCCTCCCCTCCCCTCCCCTCCCCTCCCCTCCCCTCCCCTCCCCTCCCGTCACCTCCGCTCCCCTCCTCGCCCCTCCCCTCCCAGTCTCTATCATAGGTGCGAGTTTGTCCCAAGCGCCGTCAAACACTCCTCTTCTCGGCCACCATGAGTGGGGAGGTGCAGCAGCTTGCGAGCCTGTCTCTCAACCTGCCAATCACACAAGCCCCCCTCCCCCACCCACACCCCCTTGCCTTCCCTCTCCTCCTCCCCCCTCGCAGGTGAGAGTCGACTTTTGAGTCGACTCAAAAGTCTCCTCCTCCCCCCTCGCAGGTGAGAGTCGACTTTTGAGTCGACTCAAAAGTCTCCTCCTCCCCCCTCGCAGGTCAGAGTCGACTTTTGAGTCGACTCAAAAGTCTCCTCCTCCCCCCTCGCAGGTCAGAGTCTGCCCAAAGCGCCGCCAAACCCTGCTCTTCTCGGCCACCATGAGTGGGGAGGTGCAGCAGCTGGCCAGCCTGTCCCTCAACCTGTCATTCGAAAATCCCCTCCCCCCTTTCCCCCTCTCCCTCTCCTCTTCCCCTCGGTGCTCTTTGCCTCTCTCACGCAGGTGCGAGTGTGTCCCAAGCGCCGCCAGACTCTCCTTTTCTCGGCCACCATGAGTGGGGAGGTGCAGCAGCTTGCCAGCCTGTCCCTCAACCTGCCCGTGCGGCTGTCTGCTGATGCTTCCATGCAGCGACCCCGCACACTGGAAGAGGAGTGAGTGAAGGGGGAGGGAGTGAAGTTTGCACTGTGAATGACTGAGTAGCTGTACGGTGGGTGCCCTACCTGCCTGTACGGCTGTCTGCTGTTGCTCCCTGCAGCGCCCCCGCACCCTGGAAGAGGAGTCAATGAAGGGGGAAGGGATGGCTGGAACGGGAGGGGGAAAGAGGAAGAAGGGATGTGCCCGCCCGTGTGCCCTCGTGCTGTGTCCGCTCCAACCAAGTCTCATGTCTTGTTTTGAACGTTGAGACTTCTCAAAACACATGATGTATATGCTACTACACATCTCATGTCTTGTATTGAGGCGCCTCAGGACTTAACTTCTCTGCTTCCCCCCTTGCCATGCCTTCGTCCTCTTCCTTCACTTCACTCCCTCCTCCCCCACTCCCTCCTCCTCCTCCCCAGAGTGGTTCGGGTGCGATCGTCTCAAGAGCCCGACCGAGAGGCCATGCTGCTCGCTGTGTGCTCCAGGCTCGCCCAAACCGCAGGCGCAGGCTCGGAAGGAGGGACGGATGGTGGTTCGGAAGGAAGAGAGGCAGGAGATTCAGGAAGAGGGGAGAAGCGGAGTAAAGCACAGGGGGGAGGTGGAGTGATCGTCTTCAGGTGAGCTTTGAAATTATTTCAACAGACACCTTGGTTTCAGGATGGTGAGGTGGGGGGAAGGGAGAGAAGCGGAGTAAAGCACAGGGGAGTGGTGGAGTGATCGTCTTCAGGTGAGCCTTCTGTTGACTGAAATGGCACCTCGGATTTAGGGGTAGGGGAGAAGAGGAGTAAATTGCAAGAGGGAGGAGAAATGATCATCTTCAGATTCGTTTGTTCAGCTGGTGTGCTGACACGTGAAATGGTTCTGACGTGTCATGTGCTGGTGCTGACGTGGTTCCTGTGGCTCAGCATGCTCTGCTGCACACTGTTCATTGGTGGCTGAGCACACCCTTATCATATGCTGACGTGGCACCCGTTTCTCCCTCCTGTGGCCGTTTTTGTTTGTTTGCAGCGGCCGCAAGGTAGAGGCGCATCGGCTGAAGATTATATTCGGTCTGCTCGGATGGCGGGCGGCGGAACTACACGGGAACCTTACCCAGGCCATGCGACTGGATGTGAGTGAGCAAGGGGGATGTGACTGCATGTGGTGCTAGTGCTGGGATGGCGGGTAGCGGAACTACACGGGAACCTCACTCAAGCCATGAGACTGGATGTGAGTGAGGTTACTAATCACACGTCGCATGGCCTGGATGTGACCTCACTACTGCTGACGTGGTTTCTTTTGACGTTGCAGCCAGCCTGCAAGCCACTACCCATGAGAACCTCACCTCACACGTCTGTCTGCGCGTTTCCTGCTTGCTTGCCCCGTGTGCATGCCCAATCCTTGCATGCACAATCCTTGCATGTGGTTCTGCATGCACGATGTGGACTTTCCCATCGCCACTGATGTTGCTGCCAGCCTACACACGCTGCTAGCAATCAGAACCGAATCTCACGTTTATCTGTGTGCGCGTTTCCTGCCTACTTGCTTCCCCCCACTCAGGCCTTGCATGCGGTTCTGCATGCACGATGTCGACATGCACCTTAAGGATTGGGCATGCACGCGTGCTTGCTTCATTCTTGAAGCGGTTCTGCATGCACGATGTGCACAGAAGTGCATCTAGTCCACTGTGCACGATGTGGACTTTCTCATCGCCTCGCCACTGATGTTGCCGCTTTTGAGGCGCCTAAAAAATCGTTCCTGCCTCCTTTCCCCGCTCGTGCCTCTTTGCCTCCTTTCTCCACTCAGGCGTTGGAACGATTTCGGACGCACGATGTGGACTTCCTTATTGCCACTGATGTCGCTGCCAGCCTGCACACGCCACTACCCATTAGAATCTCACTGCACGTTTCTGTGTGCACGTTTCCTTGTTTCCCTGCTGTCCTTGCTTTGCTGCACCCCCTTGCGTCCAGGCCTTGGAACGATTTCGGACGCACGATGTGGACTTCCTTATTGCCACTGATGTCGCTGCCAGGGTGCGTGTGCAACGATTGCGTTTTATAAGGCCTTTTTTTTCTCTCGTTTTTGCTACTTCTTTGTCTTTTGCTAGTCGTTTTTGTGACCGATTAAGTGTCCTTAAGTATTCGTTTTGAGACATCTCATTAATAATCCCATCTTTTCCATTGTCCTTTTCATTCCCCGCATTTCCCAACCTCTCCTCCCCCGGACTCCATTCAGGGTTTGGACATTGCTGGAGTGCAAACAGTCATCAACTACCACACACCCCGTGAAATCACCAAGTGAGTGGTTTCAAAATTGCAGTGGTCAGCAGATCGCACACTATACCTTCATCTCTGTTACTTATATGCATTCCCCTGTCGTTTTTCATTCCTCGTGTCTGCTACCTCCCATCCCATATCATCCCCATCCTTTATCTATTCTCCTCCAAACGCCCCCACCCATCTCCCCTTTCCCCAGCTACGTGCACCGAGTGGGGAGGACAGCATGGGCAGGGCAGGGAAGCTAGGCCTTACACACCCTTCCCCTAACATACTCATCCCCTCCTGCCTTCTCCAACCCCTCCTCCCCTGCCTTCCCCTCTCCTCCCCTGTGCTCCCCAGCTACGTGCACCGAGTGGGGCGGACAGCACGGGCAGGCAAGCTGGGATCGTCAGTGACCTTCGTGGGGGAGAAGGACCGAAGGCTGCTGAAAGCGATGGTGAGTAGTGGGGGAGGGGAAGGAGAGTGCATTGTGCAAGGCTGGAAGAGAAGGTGAAGGAGGGAAAGGGAGGACTGCACGGGCAGGGAATGGCGGATTGTCAGTGACCTTCGTGGGGGAGAAGGACCGAAGGCTGCTGAAAGCGATGGTGAGAGCAAGGAAATGGCGGGGAAGAAGGGATGAGATGAGGAGGCGAGGTGGAAGGGAGAAGAGTGTTCGTACAAGATATGTCTGCATGATGTGATGTGATGTGATGTGATGTGATGTGATGTGATGTGATGTGATGTGATGTGATGTGATGTGATGTGATGTGATGTGATGTGATGTGATGTGATGTGAAGTGAGAGCCTTATGTCCTAACGCCTGGTCCGCCTCGTGACTTTTGAGTCGACTCAAAAGTCACTAAGTGAGAGCCTTATGTCCTAACACCTGGTACGCCTCGTTCTCTCTGCACCCCCGTTCCACTCTCTCTTACCACAGACGAGGCGAGCAGGCAGGAAGCTGAAGCAGCGACAGATAGCGCAAGTGGCTGTGGAGCGGTGGAGGCAGCGAGTGGAGGGCATGGAGAGGGATGTGGGAGTGGGATGGCATTGACTGATGTGTTGTCCCATCCCATCCATCCTTCTTCCACACCCTGCACCGTTTTCCCCCCTGCACGTCACACCAGACGAGGCGGGCAGGAGGGAAGCTGAGGCAGCAGCAGATAGCGCAAGCGGCGGTGGAGCGGTGGAGGCAGCGAGTGGAGGGCATGGAGAGGGACGTGGGATGGCATTCTGTGATGTTCCCCATCTCAGCCCGCAGTCCCACTTTCTCTTCCTGCCTCTCCCTCCCTTCCTCTCCCTCCCACTCTCTCTCCCTGCAGACAAAGCGAGCAGGCAGGAAGCTGAAGCAGCGGCAGATAGCCCAAGCGGCTGTGGAGCGGTGGAGGCAGCGAGTGGAGGGCATGGAGAGGGATGTAGCGGCTGTTATGAAGCAGGAGAGGGAGGAACGGGTGCTGCGAAAGGCAGAGATGGAAGCAGTCAAGGTGGGTGGGTTGGCGGGCGGGCAGGTGGGTGGGTGGGCAGGCTGGCGGGTCGGCCGGAGTAGGTGGGTTGACCCGGGGAGTTGAAGCTGCTGTGTCTAGTTTTGCGACTTCTCAAACCAAAGGGTTTGACACACACACTGTTCTTCTTGCTATTTTTAACTTTGAAGTGACTTTTTTTCTTTCAGAATTTTGAGGACATGACTCCAGCTGCTATCCTTGCTTCTCATCTCCCTTTCCGCTCAACCCCTCCCTGCTGCCACGTCAGGCTGAGAACATGCTGACTCATCGCGATGAGATATTCGCCAAGCCCAAGCGCACGTGGTTCCAGAGCAAGAGGGAGAAGGAGGCAGTGGCAGAGGCGGCTAAGGCTGTGGCTGACGCTGAGGCAGAGGGCGGGGAGGGCGGCAGTGGGAAAGGGGGAGGGAAGGGAGGAGGGAAGGTGCTTTCACTGGAGGAGGTGCAGGAGAAGAGGAGAAAGGAGAAGCTGAAGAAGCAGCGAGAGGTGAGCAATGTGTTGCTGAGATGTGGGAGGTGAAACAAACACTAGGGGTGGGAGGCGGAAGCTGGCGGCAAAGAGGCAGGCACAAGGGGAGGAAGCAGAAGCACAAGCCTTGGGGCCGGATGATGCACCTGCACTCCCAACTAACCTGTACCCTCCTCCTCTCGTCTCACTCTCCGCCCCCCCTTGCCTCCCATCCCCTCTTCCCTCTCCGTTGTCCTTGCCCTTTTCCTCTCCCTGTTCCAGAAATCCCTGCAGAAAGCTAGAGGCAGAGAGGCAGGCACAACAAGAGGAGGAGGGGGCCTTAGCACAGGCCTTTGGGCTGGATGACATTTGAGTCGACTCTTGCTGGATGCACAGGCCTGGATGCACAGGCCTGGATGACTCAAAAGTCACCAGGCCTTTGGGCTGGATGACTTTTGAGTCGACTCTTGCTGGATGCACAGGCCTGGATGCACAGGCCTGGATGACTCAAAAGTCACCAGGCCTTTGGGCTGGATGACTTTTGAGTCGACTCTTGCTGGATGCACAGGCCTGGATGCACAGGCCTGGATGACTCAAAAGTCACCAGGCCTTTGGGCTGGATGAATTGAAATTGCCTGCTCTTGCTCACATCGTCCCTCGCCCTTCCCCCTCCCCCTCCCTCTAACTTATCATTTCTTCTCCCCTTCGAGAAATTGCTCCTTAGGAAGAAGCGCAGAAAGCTAGAGGCAGAGAGGCAGGCTCAAGAGGAGGAGGCAGAGGCACAGGAGTTTGGGTTGGATGATGCATCTGATGGCAAACCCAAGGCTGGAGGAAAGACAAGAGCCAAGGCACAAAAGCCTTCGGGCTGGATGAAGCTGAAAAAAATTCGGATCTTTTCACCTTTGGCCGCCCCCCTCCCTCCTCCCGCTCCCTCACCCTTTCTCTTTCTTTCCCCCCATCCAGAAATCCCTCCCAAGAAAGAAACGCAGAAAGCTAGAGGCAGAGAGGCAGGCGCAAGAGGAGGAGGCAGAAGCACAGGAGTTCGGGTTGGATGAAGCATCTGATGGGAAACCCAAGGCTGGAGGAAAGACAAGAGCCGATCTGGCTTACCGCAAGGCCAAGGCAATCAAATCCGCAGAGCGGCTCCGGGCAGCTGGGAAGATTGTCAGCCTGCCCAAGGCAGGCGGCCGGGCAGCTGGGAAGAAACCGAAGCAGAAAACGCCGTCCCGGTCCCGAGAGATGAAGGATCTGTTTCAGACGGATATGGCCAAGGGGAAAGGAGGGGGAGGGGCTGGGGGGGAAGTGAAGGGGCGGGGGAAGGCTGGGGGGACTTTCAAGAGCAAGAAGCGGTGAGTCTGTCTGTCATCCTCTTGGCTGTTACCTCTTGACTGTTACCTCATGACTGTTTGAGAAGTCTCCAAGAGGACGGTGGCGGGCCCCTTTGGTCCCCACTTTCCAGGGTTTAGGGTTTAGTCCTTTTAACCCCATATTGTTTGGCCCTCCCTTAGCATTCTGACTTGACATGCATGCATTTTCGTCTTTCCCTTGCGCTCTGTTCTCCTTCTGGCAGGTACAAGAGGCGGTGAGACAAACTGAGGGTCATCACGTGGCTTTCAGATAGGAGAGTGCACCTGAAAGGCTTGCGCATGGTTTCTGCTGTTGCAGCAGATTCACTTGCTTCATTGCTCTTGCAATGATTGCAGCTATAGTCTGTCTAAGACCAGTTGCTGTGCTCTGCAGTACAGTACCGTATGTATGGACTCCTAATAACCATGCTCAGTCGCGCAAGTGCATGTGTCTAAGAGTGAATTGAGCGGGCACAGTGAAGCCACATTGCTTGATGAAAAAAAATGAAAGAAATCCTGCGAGTCACAGACCAGGGAGCGCGACGTGGTCCACTGCACTGCTAACATACGGTATCTGCGAACATACCGTATGTGTGTGGCTTCACCACTGGCATGGCTATTGAATGCTGTCAATTCAATGGGTGACCGGAACTGACTCTGGTGCAGTTGTACGGTATGTATCACGGAACCACGTGCATCTCCATGAGTGACTGGCCTGGCAGTGTGGTCCACAGCAGCAGCAGCAGCAGCAGCAGCACCATTCTCTAGCGCGCACTGCCCACACGTCTTCATGGACCTCATCCTCATGGCAGCACAGCACTACCACCAACAGCAACAGAAGCACATGCGTTGAGATTACATGAGGTGACTTTCGAGTTGACTCAAAAGTCACCTGGCAGCGTGGTCCACAGCACCAGCAGCAGCAGCAGCAGCAGCAGCACCACCACCACCACCACCACCATTCCCTAGCGTGCACTGTCCACACGTCCATATGGACCTCATCCTCATGGCAGCACAGCACTACCACCAACAGCTACAGGAGCACATGCATTGAGATTACATGTGTTGAGTTTACCGCACTTGTGTTGAGATTATTATGCGTGAGAGGCATCAATGAGTTGATATGGCATCATGTCTGAGCGACTTTCAGTGAGTCACAGGCCAGGCATCGATCTGCAGCAGCAGCATTCTCTAGCGTGCACAGCGTACAAGTCCACATGGCCCCCGGGGCAGCAGCACTGTCAGCAATGACTGCAGCACTGTCAGCAATGACTGCAGCACTGCCACAGCCAGTGATTGCAGCAGCAGGGTAATCCTCGATTACAATGGCTGCATCGGCACTGGTACCAGCAGCAGCAGCACCAGCAGCGGTGGTGGGGGGCGTGGAAGCAGCGGTCACTGCTGCGCGAGAACTGGCCGGGCCTGAATGCGGTCGCACTGCAAGGCACGCCTCGCACTGTAGCACAATGCCCTACAGGAAAAAAAGAAAAGAAATAAATAAATAAAAGAAAAATCACAAGGCATGATTCACGCTGAGGCGCACTGTACCAAGTGCTTCCTCATATTGGAACCGACAGGGCAGGTACCATACTGTGTGTGTGATGGTCATTGACTGCCTGAATGGATTCAACTGCATGCCCGCATGCACATGCACACACGCACACACTCCCCTCTCCCCCCACTCTTTTCCCCCCCACACACACATGTTAAAAGCTCCTAACTCACCCGGTTAATCAGTGTGCAAACACGGCACGTCCAGTTGTCTTCTCTCCCCACACCCTCTGCTCCCTCTGCCCTGCCTGCTCCCGCTGCCTGCTGCTCTCCTCCTGACACATCGCCCCCTCTAGACCCATCTGTGAATCTTTCTCTGGTCGCATCAGCTCTCTTACTTGCTACAGCACTGCTTGCAGGCATCTTTCTGCTCCTACTGCTCTGCTCCTCAGTCACACTTGGCCGCTTCCTTGCCCCACCAGCCTGGCTCGCCTCCCCCGTTCTGAAGCCATTTGCACCTTGTACACAATCACAACCACCGTTACAGTCACAGTCCTGATGCCTGGACGCGTCACTCTGCGCACTTCCACTCCTCACCCTCCCTCTGCCTGCCCCTATTTCATCCCCCTCCAACCCAGAACCAACAGCACCACCATGACCTTCACCCATTGCCATTCCTCCTCTACCATCATCTCTACCATCAACTCTATCATCGTGTCTAACATCGTTTGCACGCTGCTGTGACGCATTACCCTCTCTCACTTCCCTTGCACTCTCCCACTCCTCCTCTTCCTTTTCCCTCGCCCCGCCTTGACCCCTATCCCCTCCCTCTCCTCCCTCCCCTCCCTCGCTCCCATGCCCACCACACCACACATCGTCCCTCATCCTTCTCTCTGCTGCCATAGCAGCTGCCTGCACCGGACTCAACACCTTCATAATCTCACTGTCGCCGCCCAATCGCCGCCCGCCCACAGGCATCATGATCCGCTGCTGCTGCCGCCTCCGCTCCGCCGCTGCTGCCGCTGCTTTTCTGCTTGCCCCGTCAGCAGCAGACGGGGCAGAAGAAGGGCCAGCAGGGGTAACAACCCTGAAAGAGGAAGAATCAGCAGCGCTGGCAGCAGCAGCAGCAGCAGCAGCAGTGCCTAAGCGGACTGGGCGAATGGAGGGGTAAGGAGAGGAGCCGAGGCGGTGACCAGATCCCCCAAAGGGCGTTCCTGTTATGCCTCGTGCTATGAGATCATCACACTCCTGCTCATATGGGTTTGGGCAATGAGAGACACACGCACGAAAAAGGTTTGTCCAGCCTCCAGCCTATGCTTGTGGGAACTCCAAATAGCACATGCTTGGATGGGACGAGGGGGCATTGCTACACTGAAGTGGAAGACGGAGTGACTTTTGAGTAGACTCAAAAGTCACTTGGTCAAAGCAGCACATGCGTGGATGGGACGAGGGGGCATTGCCACCCTGAAGTGGAAGACGGAGAGGACGAGCGCGTTACTGCACTTACCTCATTGAGTTCGTCTAGTAGCTTGTAGAACTTGGCATCGTGGGGGCCTCGTTCGATGTGAGTGAGCTCGTGAAGCATGGTGCCCAACACATGCTCGTATGGGAAGAATGAGTCCGGCTTGCCTGTTCAGTGAATCAAGATTGCAGGAAAAGAATGAAAGAAAGAAAGAAAGAAAAGGAAGGGCAACTCAAAAGTTGCAGCTGGTCAGCTCATACGAGAGCTTGCAGATTGTGTGTGAATTGACACGATCTAACTAATCAGCAGTTATGAAGGGAGGTGCTCGATGCTTTCTTCGAAGGAATGGGATAGTTTGATTGCCTGCCGGTCAAGGTCAACCCCTACTTGCAATGAGCTCGTCCGCGGTGGTTCGCAGCTCACGCTTGTAAGGGAAGGGCGAATCTAGCTATCCTGACCGTCTGAGTCGAATCACTAGCAGGTTGACAATAAGCATGAACAAATGTCAGGTACAACTCCCGATAGTTCCCAACGCTTGCCTGCGGGTCTGAGTCGTATTCGAATCTCCCGGCCTCGGTTGATGTTGAGACCCAGGAGCCGAGCATTGCTGGGACTGTGGGAGGGGGAACAGTCAAAAGCTAATCATGGTGCGAGTGTGAACGAGGACCATAATCGAGGTGACTTTTGAGTCGACTCAAAAGTCACCTCATCATGGTGCGAGTGTGAACGAGGACCATAATCGGCTCCACCTGTGTAGCGACTCGCTACAACAGGCTTCTCTTGTTGAGACGAGTAAATAACCAACCTGTTTTTAACGCGTCTACTGAGGCTCGAACCTGAATTCAGACAGCAGCGGCACCTTCCATCGGCGCCGGATCATAATCGGCTCAACCTGCTTCGCCACTCGCTCCAGCAGGCTTCTCGCCTCGTCGCTCCGCTTCTGCCGCTTCAGCGCTCTGATCTCCCACACCTTGTAAAGACTCGCTGATCCCGACGCTCCATTTCCCGTTATTGGTGCCATAACTTCACGCACAACCACATTTACATGCAGGGACTAATATATATGAAAATTCCACACTTCGTAGCTCAACAGTCCCGACGCTCCGTTTTTTGCTAGCTGTGTCGTAATCTCGAAAACGATTACATACTCGACATCCATAAATTCATATAGCCTACAATTCTGGGCGTGGCTTTCTGGGAATTAGTAATGAACACATAAAAAAAAGAAGCGGAATCTCGCTATCAGTGCGACTATGGGACCAGACGAACGCATAGGTGGCCCAACGGAGCTAGGAGAATCTAATAGAAACTAATACTGGCCCAATGCACTAACAATATTACTGCGCAGCTCTGACTACGCTTGAATCAAGGACGAAACTGCTTCAAGCTGACGCCATCTAATGCTGGGAACTCGTGATGTGCTGGGTGTGTGTTGGTGTTGTGTGTTTTTGCTGCTTTTTCCGGACAGATCTTCGTAAATCCCAATAATTCCTCCTCGTTTCCCGCCAGCCCAAGCTAAACGTAGGTTCCAGACGTTGACGAAATTCCTTGCGATCGCCAGCTGGTTACTCGCCGGCGAAAGACTAGATTCAGCAGCACGCAGGACCCTTCGTACAACGCAACGTTCGTGGCTTTTGACGGACGGGCAGCAATTTCCTTGTCAGCTGTGCCCTGCCCAGACTTCTTTAGGGGACCAACCTGCTGGCCGTTTGTACAAATGTTCCGGGTTAGAGGCCTTCGCTGAGAGAGTCACTTTTCCCCCCTGAGTAGAATTTTCCGATAAGCCTCGGGTTGGCCCGACCCCTATAGTCCCTTTTTTGGCGGAAAATTTTGCAGCTTGACCAAATCATTGTACGAATCAGCTCCACAGCCAATCAGAGGCTCCAGATCAAACCAGCCCAACATTCAAGGAGAACGATGAAGAAGGGATCATCGGTTCGATATTTTAACTTAAATTGTGAGTAGTTGTTTCTCTTGACCGTGACTACTTCTCAATCTTGTCGCGCTGTATCCAGCGCGATCGACGATGACATCTCATTTATCTCGCTTACAGG